TTATGACAAGGGATTCTATCTTTGATGCTGTTAAATAATGGGGTTATGGTTCACATCGTACAGTGCCTTGCAAAAGTATTCATCGCCCTTGGCGTTTTTCCTATTTTGTTGCATTACAACCTGTAATTTAAATGGATTTTTATTTGGATTTCATGTAATGGACATACACAAAATAGTCCACATTGGTGAAGTGAAAATAAAAAAATAACTTATTTCAAAAAATTCTAAAAAATTAAATAACGGAAAAGTGGTGCGTGCATATGTATTATGCTATGAAGCCCCTAAATAAGATCTGGTGCAACCAATTACCACCTGTGTGCAATCTAAGTGTCATATGATCTGTCACATGATCTGTCAGTATATATACACCTATTCTGAAAGTCCCCAGAGTCTGCAACACCACTAAGCAAGGGGCACCACCAAGCAAGCGGTACCATGAAGACGAAGGAGCTCTCCAAACAGGTCAGGGACAAAGTTGTGGAGAGGTACAGATCAGGGTTGGGTTATAAAAAAATATCAGAAACTTTGAACATCCCACGGAGCACCATTAAATCCATTATTAAAAAATTGAAAGAATATGGCACCACAACAAACCTGCCAAGAGAGGGCCGCCCACCAAAACTCACAGACCAGGCAAGGAGGGCATTAATCAGAGAGGCAACAAAGAGACCAACGATAACCCTGAAGGATACTGCAAAGCTCCACAGCGGAGATTGGAGTATCTGTCCATAGGACCACTTTAAGCCGTACACTCCACAGAGCTTTAAGCCATTGCTTAAAGAAAAAAACAAGCAAACAAGCAAACACGCCAAAAGCTATGTGGGAGACTCCCCAAACAAATGGAAGAAGGTAATCTGGTCAGATGAGACTAAAATTGAGCTTTTTGGCCATCAAGGAAAACGCTATGTCTGGCGCAAACCCAACGTCTCTCATCACCCCGAGAACACCATCCCCACAGTGAAGCATGGTGGAGGCAGCATCATGTTGTGGGGATGTTTTTCATCGGCAAGGACTGGGAAACTGGTCAGAATTGAAGGAATGATGGATGGCGCTAAATACAGGGAAATTCTTGATGGAAACCTGTTTCAGTCTTCCAGAGATTTGAGACTGGGACGGAGGTTCACCTTCCAGCAGGACAATGACCCTAACCATACTGCTAAAGCAACACTTGAGTGGTTTAAGGGGAAACATTTAAATGTCTTGCAATGGCCTAGTCAAAGCCCAGACCTCAATCCAATTTAGAATCTGTGGTATGACTTAAAGATTGCTGTACACCAGCGGAACCCATCCAACTTGAAGGAGCTGGAGCAGTTTTGCCTTGAAGAATGGGCAAAAATCCCAGTGACTAGATGTGCCAAGCTTATAGAGACATACCCCAAGAAACTTGCAGCTGCAAAAGGTGGCTCTACAAAGTGTTGACTTTGGGGGGGGTGAATAGTTATGCACGCTCAAGTTTTCCGTTTTTTTTGTCTTATTTCTTGTTTGTTTGTTTCACAATAAGAAATATTTTGCATCTTCAAAGTGGTAGGCATGTTGTGTAAATCAAATGATACAACCCCCCCCCAAAATCCATTTTAATTCCAGGTTGTAAGGCAACAAAATAGGAAAAATGCCAAGTGGGGTGAATACTTTCGCAAGCCACTGTATGTGTTGTTTCTATGTTGAAGTGGATTGTGGGTGGCAAACCTCTCTCTTGCAGGGAAAAGACAGACTTTTACTGTTCGACTGAGTATTACCCTTCGGCAAGTGTCTTATTCAGTGCTTGACAGAAATTGTGTGCTCCTCCTCTAGTGTGTTAGCCAACTGCCCAAGGTGATATGCAAATCTAACATTTAAAATCAGCTATTTTTGCACCAACTCAAACAAAGAAACAATCAATAATTCAGATACTGTATGATATTTAGTTTGTGTATTTTTTGTCTAAGTTTTTTGGGGACAGGCTGGTCTTACATCTCCCAAACCCAATTCCCAGTCTCTCCTCCAATCAGAGCTAGGGAAAAGCCTGCAGAGGGATTATGGTCTTTAAAGAACTGAAAGTTTAGCTGCATTGCTCTCTTTAGCTCTATTCTCCTCTGCTCTCTCTATAGCTATTGCGGCAGTGCAATGGATCGAAGCCCATGTGTGTTCTGAACAAACCCAGAGAGCCATATTCACTGTAGACAGCAGTAGTGTTAGATGACAGTATGTGTGAATGCCCTGGAAGGGCTGGTCTTGATGTGGTACAGTATTGTTAACTCTGTTTACAGCACAACTCTCACTAGGTGACAGATTGAACCTGAGGTCGATCCCTACCTTACCCTTCACGCCACTACCCACACCACTCAGCACTTCATCACCCAGGCAAAAATAGACCTGACTTTTAAAGCCTCGCCTTTTTACTGCAAGACTGCAGTCTCCCTCTTCCTTTTAACCTCTTCCCTTTGCCTTATCGATTTCCTGCTCAACAAAAAACAGCAGTTTTCTTCCCCAGTTATGGCAGCCGTCCCGGGGAGTGGCTATCTATTGCATCTATATGCAGCGCTGCTGGAAGAGCAATCCAGCCCGCCCTCGACGCCAATATGTTTACCTGACATTCAAAATGAACAAACAAGCAACAGTACTTACAGTACATACAATGCATTTGGAAAGTATTCAGACCCCTTGACTTTTCCACATTTTGTTACGTTACAGCTTTATTCTAAAATTGATTAAATTGTTTTTTTTCAATCATCAATCTACAAACAATACACCATAATGACAAAGTGAAAACAGAAATACCTTATTTACATAAGTATTCAGACCCTTTGCTATGAGACTCAAAATTGAGCTCAGGTGCATCCTGTTTCCATTGAACATCCTTGAGATGTTTCTACAACTTGATTGGAGTCCACTTGTGGTAAATTAAATTGATTGGGCATGATTTGGAAAGGCACACACCTGTCTATATAAGGTCCCACAGTTGACAGTGCATGTCAGAGCAAAAACCAAGCCATGAGGTTGAAAGAGTTGGATTGTATATACAGGATTGTATCGAGGAACAGATCTGGGGAAGGGTACCAACACATTTCTGCAGCATTGAAGGTGCCCAAGAACACAGTGGCTTCCATCATTCTTACATTTTTACATTTTAGTCATTTTAGCAGATGCTCTTATCCAGAGCGACTTACAGTTAGTGAGTGCATACATTTTTCATACTGGCCCCCCGTGGGAATAGAACCCACAATCCTGGCGTTGCAAGCGCCATGCTCTACCAACTGAGCTACAGAAGGCTAAATGGAAGAAGTTTGGAACCACCAAGACTCTTCCTAGAGCTGGCCGCCCGGCCAAACTGAGCAATCGGGGGAGAAGGGCCTCGGTCAGGGAGGTGACCAAGAACGCGATGGTCACTCTGACAGAGCTCCAGAGTTCCTCTGTGGAGATGGGAGAACCTTCCAGAAGGACAACCATCTCTGCAGCACTCCACCAATCAGGCATTTATGGTAGAGTGGCCAGACGGAAGCTACTCCTCAGTAAAAGGCACGAGAGCCCGCTTGGAGTTTGCTACAAGGCACCTAAAGGACTCTCAGACCATAATAAACAAGATTCTCTGGTCTGATGAAACCAAGATTTAACTATTTGGCCTGAATGCCAAACGTCATGTCTGGAGGAAACCTGGCATCATCCCTACGGTGAAGCATGGTGGTGGCAGCATCCTGCTGTGGGAATGTTTTTCAGCGGCAGGGACTGGGAGACTTGTCAGGATCGAGGGAAAGATGAATGGAGCAAAGTACAGAGAGATCCTTGATGAAAATCTGCTCCAGAGCGCTCAGGACCTCAGACTGGGGCGAAGGTTCACCTTCCAACAGGACAACGACCTTAAGCACACAGCCAAGACAACGCAGGAGTGTCTTTGGGACAAGTCTCTGAATGTCCTTGAGTGGCCTTGCCAGAGCCCCGACTTGAACCCGATCGAACATCTCTGGAGAGACCTGAAAATAGCTGTGCAGTGACGCTCCCCATCCAACCTGACAGAGCTTGAGAGGATCTGCAGAGAAGAATGAGAGAAACTCCCCAAATACAGGTGTACCAAGCTTGTAGCGTCATACCCAAGAAGACTCGAGGCTGTAATGGCTGCCAAAGGTGCTTCAACAAAGTACTGAGTAAAGGGTCTGAATACTTATATAAATGTAATATTTCAGTTTTTAAATGTGCACACATTTCTAAAAACCTGGTTTTGCTTTGTCATTATGGGGTAAAGGATCTTTGTCCCAGGGCACGGCTCAAACAGAGGAGAGAGGAGGAGAGAGTGTTTCAGTCTGTTCATCCGGCTCGACTGTCAGGGCTGTAGCAGAAGCCGTGTGGGTGCAGTGGGTTGGAAGCTGTGAGACAGATTTCAACATGCCTGGTTTCCTCAACTTCCCTCATCCTCTGTGACATGACTTCCTACTTTTAGATTTCCTCTTTATCTCCTGGGGGGATGAGAGAGAGTGAGAGAGAGTGAGAGAGAGAGAGAGAGAGAGAGAGAGAGAGAGAGAGAGAGGAGAGAGAGAGAGAGAGAGAGAGAGAGAGAGAGAGAGAGAGAGAGAGAGAGAGAGAGAGAGAGAGAGAGAGAGAGAGAGAAGAGAGAGAGAGAGAGAGAGAGAGAGAGAGAGAGAGAGAGAGAGAGAGAGAGATATTGCCCTCCATGTAATGTTATCCATTAATCGTAATACTGGCCGGCAGCTCTCCTCTGGCCAGGGTCTGTTAGAAATTTGTTTATTTTGAGCGGTTGTGAAGTAGTATGCATTGGGAACAGCTCAAATTCAAATCCAATCATTTTCATTTTGGGTCAAATCAAATCCTCCTGACCTTGATCATTTTCATTAGCATTCTTTATATTGAAGCCATCTGTAATGAAACTGGATAGGTTATGGGTTATCTAACAGCACGATCTCAGGCCACAGAGACCCAGAGAAGATGCTGTTGGCAGAGCAGCTCTGTGTCTGCTGTCTGATGTGTGTGATACTGTAATGTCATTAATGAATTGAACAGTCAGTGGAATAATGAAAGAGCAGTGTAAGCTTCATCCATGTTGAGATATGCGCATCACACTGATTGGTGTCCATGTTTATGGTGCTCTTTGGGTACACTGGCGGCCATATTGGCTGTACCATTTGGATCAACTCAAATTCTATGGTCTTGACTCCTGACCCTCCCTGTGTTCTTCTTTCCCACCCCAGGTAGAGCCAGCCTGCATGGGAAGGCGTCTCTTCAGATCAACCCAGTGCGCTCAGAGGACCAGGGCTGGTATGAGTGTAGGGTCCTGATGCTGGAGCAGCAGTACAATACCTTCCACAATGGCAGCTGGGTCCAGCTCACAGTCAATGGTGAGTCACTGGCTGCGTCCCAAATGGCACCCTATTCCCTATGTAGTGCACAACTTTGACCAGGGCTCATATGGCTCTGGTCAAAAGTAGTGCACTATATAGGGAATAGGGTGCCATTTGTTTCACTTCACTGTCACTTTACTGTCAGCACCAACAGATTGGAGTGTGGTTTGGGATTGGGACCCAATATGGAGAATGTGATTCTACAATGTAATCTCGTCAGATGTGTGTGCTCGAGTGATTCATGACAATGTTCACCTCATAGCTTGCTAACATTCCATGCCTCCACGGTTTTCATTGGTCAGCCTCAGATAGCTGTACTGTAGCTAACTACATTCTGAAGATTTTGTCAGAACATTCCTTCTCTCTGATTCACCATTCAGATACAGTGGAGGTGACAATGACTGGTCTGTCTGACATTTCAGATTTACTGTGTGTGTGCTGATTTGCTTTATCACTTGGGTGATGTTTGGCTTTTTAGTGATTCTATGTGGTACTGTACAATCATTTGTCCCCCCAAATAATTGTTTTCCCTGTAGTCACTTTGTCTTTGTTTATTCTGAGATGCCAAAGCTCTGATGAGTGGCAATTAGGTATTATTTTAGATAATGCCTTTTCAGGAACATCACACAGACAGACACATTTCAGATTGCCTTGGGGATAAAGGGATGAGAGACTAGGAAGAAGGAGAATTGATTGTGGCCTGTTTAACACAGTTCCGGCAGGGAATGTCTAGGATAGTCTGGAAGCAATCAAACTGATGACCAGACGGGGAAAGAATCTGCATGTTTGCACTTCCCAGGAAGGCCCCAGTGGGTTAGCGGCTAGCTGCTTCTAGCTATGTTATGTGTTCCAGTACATTGTTCAAGACCAGAACCATTTACAGAGCTGGGCCAACTTTTAGAAGGTTGAGTATTGTTCTAATTCTAGACATTCAGTTACATAGCATTATTTAAATATTCTCCATGTAATGTTAATGGGTCGCTAACATGGCTGTCATAGTATGTTGAAGTATCATGCAGAAACCTCAATGGCCCAACTCTCTAAATGCATGGCTCTGTTCAAGACCATCTCGAGTCAAGTTACAATGATGCCCATGATCTTTACTATTTTATCTTCTGAAAACCAAATCGGTTTTATATTCGTATTTTCTGATGGGTTTCTGATTTTATTCATTTTGTCAGATGTTATAATAGACAATAAAAAATATTTGTCTCTGAGAAATGTAATATAATTTAATTGCACGTTGCCGTATTCAATTCGGTTTGCAGGGCCGCAGATGCTAAAGTGTAGCTGCAGCATATCTGTCCATTCCAATTATTTTGGTCTCTCTGCTGGTGTTATTGAGATACAATACATCTCCCATTTGGCCGTCCTCCGGCTGGATAGCGGTGGATAGTTATTTCTCCATACGATGCAGGCATTTGGAAATAATGGGTTCGACTAAATGCAGTCGTCTCGTTAGAGTCATGTTTTAACATTAAACAGTGTTTTTTCCCCTCCAGATAGACACCTCACAAGGACTGAAGATATTATTAGTGTGACATTTTGCAGTTTATACCGTCAGATTCACACACTCAAAAGGTATTTTGGGTTTGAATTTATGCTCACTGTCTGTGTTAGGCTCATGCATATTCTCATCATGAACTTCCTAATCTGTAACTGATTGTATATGCATATAGAGTTTACTTGACATTGGATGAGGTTCAACATCTGTTCACTGTAAATATAATGGTCACTATGAAACTGAAAAGCTAGAGATTAAGAAGATGGAGACTACCAATGTGTCCGTGTGTGCAAGCATGCATCTACACACTGTGTAATTGTGTGTGAGAGCATTTGCATGTGTGTAATTGTCTCAGTATTTCAACGGTTCAGTGTGCGCGTGTTTATGCACGTGTGTGTAATGGTGTGTGTGCATTTGGCTGTGGCTAAATAAATTCCCTATCTGCTGAGTTACACTCACGGTTGCCCTGCCAGGGAATGTCACCTGCGCAGCCTCTAGGGGGGCGGGAGGGAGTGTGTGAACATCTGTGTGTGTTTGGTTTGAATGGCTTCCTGTGCAAGCGGGCACACTGCACACTGCGTCTCTATGGCCGGCCTCGTCAGTGTTCACGCTCAACTCACTCGCTTACTCACTCACTCGCCTATGCTCTCCCCCTCCCCTACTGCCAGACCTTTACACAATCACTGAGTTGTCTGGATAATGTGTTTGATGTGTCATAATCCTGTGTGTTGGAAATCGTTTTTGGTGTTTGAGTTCAAATAAAACAAGTCTAAAATATTTTGTTTGTCCATACCTTGTTTACGGCAGTGTAATGGCAAAGGTGCAGAGCAGAAGGCTATTGCCTTGTTTTCCCAATCGGGGACTGTTGGGGATGAACCTGAAACCAAGCTCTCATGTCTACTGAAAGAGCCAGAGCAAAATGGCTGGCAGTGTTTGTGCTTGTTTTGAGACATCTGTGTGTTGAATTGACATTCAGAGGCCTCATCATGGCTGGATGTCCTCTCAAAGGGTCTCTGTTGGGAAGGCAGGTGCTCTTCTGGCCAGGCTTCATCACAGATACTAAAGGCAGCCATTTCCTGTGGCCAGTGGAATCTACATATGATACACTCCCTGCTTTGAGTTCCTGTTTGCTGCCCTCTACTTCCTGCCAAACGGAGAGAGGATTCATGCCCACTCAGTGGCAGGTGTCAGATGGCAAGACCTTGTGCCCGAAAGACAGAGAGTTCACTGTGGTGCCTCTCCTCTCCTCTCCTCTCCTCTCCTCTCCTCTCCTCTCCTCTCCTCTCCTCTCCTCTCCTCTCCTCTCCTCTCCTCTCCTCTCCTCTCCTCTCCTCTCCTCTCCTCTCCTCTCCTCTCCTCTCTTCTTAATTTAGTATCAGTTAACAGTATGCTAATAAATCAGCAGCTTTTGGATAGTGTGAGAGAATACGTAAGTGAGAGAAACAGTGATAGTGAGAAATTGTGTGTGTCAGCTCACACAGCTGCAGTAACTTCAGAGACAAATAGTCTTAAGAGGATCTCTTGGTGCCTTGAGGGCAAATGGTTGTTGGGTTGCGGATGGAAAGTAGAGTACAGTAAACAGTAAAGGGCTAAATATATGCTGCAATTCGATAAAAATGCATGATGATCCTTTCGTGCTGTAAGTAGTAGTCCTCAGGGAAAAAACACTCTCTCTCCCACTCTGGCTGGCTCTGTGCTGTAAATGTTCATTTTGTCTGAAATCTGCTCATAAAGGGAAATCAAAGAAAAACTGTGTAAAAAACTGTGCAGTCTTCCAGGGAGCAGGAGAAAGAGAGATGGCGAGAATGAGGGAGAAAGAGAGGAAGGCAGAGAATCAGAGTGAGGAGGAGAGAAGGAGATAGAAGGAGAGATGTCAGGGAGCAGGTATGGAGCTCTAAGGAGGCCATCTGCTCGTGTAGAAAGGTCTACAGAGGGGAGTGGTGTGAATACAGAAGCAACTGAATCCAGGAATAAAGGAGACAAGAAAATTAGGAAAGTAGGGCGAGAATGTGATGCTCAACTTGGCTTTTTGTAGAAGCCCCCACTTGGTGACACTTACATACTGATGTGTTGTACTTGATAATGGGCGGAAAGACCTCCCCTGTCGCCCAATCCGCTCACTGTAAATACCACCTCCTGTTTTCCACCTACTTAGTGTAAATTAATGTTAGGTAATCTAAACCACATTATAGATGTGAATCAAGGAAAATAATCTACACCACAGTCCACAATATGGTTACCCATAAAGCACACTTGCATTGTAATCACTACAAAAACCATAGGTGGTTGCTTAATGTGCAGAAAGGAATATACTGTAGTAACGTTACAGAACGATAATACCCAAAGAAGTCATTGAGAGAATGCCTAGAACAGCTGTTAAATAGATTGAATGGGATCTTAAGCACATTCTTAACATATCATACGATCCAGCAGGACGTAACATATCATACGAAATTTAAAATGGAAATGGATGATGTTTCGGGGACCCGTTTTGGCACATGAGCGCTACTTTCAAAACTACTGGCTGAAAGTTCCTTAATGGTAGTATCCGGTAGTCTCTATACAGGAGTATTGTGCAGTGAGGGGCCAGGATGGAGAGGCAGATCTCTAGAGATGCTAATTGGTGTGTTTGTTTACTCCACACCAGGTGTGTGTTAGGTTAGAAGTGAAGACAAGACTCCCATCGGCTAGCCATGACCCACTTGGGTAGAGAGAGTGTGATCCTCTCTTCAGCTAAATTCAGTTCAGTTCAAGTTTTATTGTCACGTGGACAAGTACAGTGAAATGTTTAACTTGCGAGCTCTACCCAACAGTGCAGTAATCAAAATCAAAAATAATGTAGACTGGAATATGTTCCGGGATTCTTCCGATGGCATTGAGGAGTACACCACATCAGTCACTGGCTTCATCAATAAGTGCATTGACGACGTCGTCCCCACAGTGACCGTATGTACATACCCCAACCAGAAGCCATGGATTACAGGCAACATCTGCACTGAGCTAAATGGTAGAGCTGCCGCTTTCAAGGAGCGGGACTCTAACCTGGACGCTTATAAGAAATCCCGCTATGCCCTCTGACGAACCATCAAACAGGCAAAGCGTCAATACAGGACTAAGATTGAATCGTACTACAAAGGCCCCGACGCTCGTCGGATGTGGCAGGGCTTGCAAACTAATACAGACTACAACGGGAAGCACAGCCGCGAGCTGCCCAGTGACACGAGCCTACCAGACGAGCTAAATTACTTCTATGCTCGCTTCGAGGCAAGCAACACTGAAGCATGCATGAGAGCATCAGCTGTTCTGGATGACTGTGTGATCACGCTCTCTGTAGCTGATGTGAGTAAGATCTTTAAACAGGTCAACATTAACAAGGCCACAGGGCCAGACAGATTACCAGGACGTGACTGTCTTCACTGACATTTTCAACCTGTCCCTGACTGAGTCTGTAATACCAACATGTTTCAAGCAGACCACCATAGTCCCTGTGCCCAAGAACACTAATTTAACCTGCCTAAATGACTACCGACCTGTAGCACTCACGTCTGTAGCCATGAAGTGCTTTGAAAGGCTGGTCATGGCTCACATCAACACCATTATCCCAGAAACCCTAGACCCACTCCAATTTGCATACCGCCCCAACAGATCCACAGATGATGCAATCTCTATTGCACTCCACACTGCCCTTTCCCACCTGGACAAGAGGAACACCTACGTGAGAATGCTATTCATTGACTACAGCTCAGCATTCAACACCATAGTGCCCTCAAAGCTCATCACTAAGCTAAGGATCCTGGGACTAAACACCTCCCTCTGCAACTGGATCCTGGACTTCCTGACGGGCCGCCCCCAGGTGGTAAGGGTAGGTAACAACACATCTGCCACGCTGATCCTCAACACGGGGGCGGCAGGTAGCTTAGTGGTTAAGAGCGTTGTGCCAGTAACCGAAAGGTCGCTGGTTCTAATCCCCGAGCCGACTAGGTGAAAAATCTAATTGCTCCTGTAAGTCGCTCTGGATAAGAGCGTCTGCTAAATGACAAAAACAAAAAACAAAAAAAACACGGGGGCCCCTCAGGGGTGCGTGCTCAGTCCCCTCCTGTACTCCCTGTTCACCCATGACTGCATGGCCAGGCACGACTCCAACACCATCATTAAGTTTGCCGACGACACAACAGTGGTAGGCCTGATCACCGACAACGATGAGACAGCCTATAGGGAGGAGGTCAGAGACCTGGCCGTGTGGTGACAGGATAACAACCTCTCCCTCAATGTGATCAAGACAAAGAAGATGATTGTGGACTACAGGAAAAAGAAGAGGACCGAGCACGCCCCCATTCTCATCGACGGTGCTGTAGTGGAGCAGGTTGAGAGCTTCAAGTTCCTTGGTGTCCACATCTCCAACAAACTATCATGGTCCAAACACAACAAGATAGGCGTGATGTGGGCACGACAAAGCCTATTCCCCCTCAGGAGACTGAAAATATTTGGCATGGGTCCTCAGATCCTCAAAAAGTTCTACAGCTGCACCATAGAGAGCATCCTGACTGGTTGCATCACTGCCTGGTATGGCAACTGCTCGGCGTCCGACTGAAAGGCACCACAGAGGGTAGTGTGTACAGCACAGTACATCACTGGGGCCAAGCTTCCTGCCATCCAGGACCTCTATACCAGGCGGTGTCAGAGGAAGGTGCAAAAAATTGTCAAATACTCCAGCCACCCTAGTCATAGACTGTTCTCTCTGCTACCGCATGGCAAAAGGCTTCTTAACAGCTTCTACCCCCAATCCATAAGACTCCTGAACAGCTAATCAAATGGCTACCCGGACTATTTGCATTGTCCCCCCCACCCCCTCTTTTACGCTCCTGCTACTCTCTGTTTATTATCAATGCATAGTCACTTTAACTCTACCTACATGTACATATTACCTCAATTACCTCGACTAACCTGTGTCCCCTCACATTGACTCTGTACCGGTACCCCCTGTATATAGCCTCGCTACAGTTATTTTACTGCTGCTCTTTAATAATTTTTTACTTATTTATTTTTTACTTAACACTTATTTTTCATAAAACTGTGTTGTTGGTTAAGGGCTTGTAAGTAAACATTTCACTGTAAGGTCTACACCTGTTGTATTCGGCGCATGTAACAAATCAAATTTGATTTGATTTGAAATTAAAAAATTGAATATATACTGTATACAGTAAAGAAAACACAAGAAATGGAAGCTATATACAGGGTCAGTGCCAATACCAAATGTACAATGTGCAGGGATACTGGAGTAATTGGATGGTCCAGACAGCCCCATGCTAGGCCCTCTCTTACTGCTGCCGGACCACAGCAGAACAAGGCACCAGCACACACACAGTCCCACACACACACAGTCCCACAGCCCGCAGACACGCAGGCAGGCACGCACATACACACACACACACATAGAGTGTGGGAAAAAGGTATTTGATCCCCTGCTGATTTTGTACGTTTGCCCACTGACAAAGAAATGATCAGTCTATAATTCTAATGGTAGGTTTATTTGAACAGGGCACCAGCACACACACACACGTCAAAAAATGTTATAAATTTATTTGGATTTTAATGAGGGAAATAAGTATTTGACCCCCTCTCAATCAGAAAGATTTCTGGCTCCCAGGTGTCTTTTATACAGGTAACGAGCTGATATTAGGCGCACACTCTTAAAGGGAGTGTTCCTAATCTCAGTTTGTTACCTGTATAAAAGACACCTGTCCACAGAAGCAATCAATCAATCAGATTCCAAACTCTCCACCATGGCCAAGAACAAAGAGCTCTCCAAGGATGTCAGGGACAAGATTGTAGATCTACACAAGGCTGGAATGGGCTACAAGACCATCGCCAAGCAGCTTGGTGAGAAGGTGACAACAGTTGGTGCGATTATTCGCAAATGGAAGAAACACAAAATAACTGTCAATCTCCTTCGGCCTGGGGCTCCATGCAAGATCTCACCTCGTGGAGTTGCAATGATCATGAGAACGGTGAGGAATCAGCCCAGAACTACACGGGAGGATCTTGTCAATGATCTCAAGGCAGCTGGGACCATAGTCACCAAGAAAACAATTGGTAACACACTACGCCATGAAGGACTGAAATCCTGCAGCGCCTGTAAGGTCCCCCTGCTCAAGAAAGCACATATACAGGCCCGTCTGAAGTTTGCCAATGAACATCTGAATGATTCAGAGGAGAACTGGGTGAAAGTGTTGTGGTCAGATGAGACCAAAATGGAGCTCTTTGGCATCAACTCAACTCGCCGTGTTTGGAGGAGGAGGAATGATGCCTATGACCCCAAGAACACCATCCCCACCGTCAAACATGGAGGTGGAAACATTATGCTTTGGGGGTGTTTTTCTGCTAAGGGGACAGGACAACTTCACCGCATCAAAGGGACGATGGACCGTCAAATCTTGGGTGACAACCTCCTTCCCTCAGCCAGGGCATTGAAAATGGGTTGTGGATGGGCATGACAATGACCCAAAACACACGGCCAACGCAACAAAGGAGTGGCTCAAGAAGAAGCACATTAAGGTCCTGGAGTGGCCTAGCCAGTCTCCAGACCTTAATCCCATAGAAAATCTGTGGCGGGAGCTGAAGGTTCGAGTTGCCAAACGTCAGGCTCGAAACCTTAATGACTTGGAGAAGATCTGCAAAGAGGAGTGGGACAAAATCCCTCCTGAGATGTGTGCAAACCTGGTGGCCAACTACAAAAAACGTCTGACCTCTGTGATTGCCAACAAGGGTTTTGCCACCAAGTACTAAATCATGTTTTGCAGAGGGTCAAATACCTATTTCCCTCATTAAAATGCAAATCAATTTATAACATTTTTGACATGCGTTTTTCTGGATTTTGTTGTTGTTATTCTGTCTCTCACTGTTCAAATAAACCTACCATTAAAATTATAGACTAATCATGTCTTTGTCAGTGGGCAAACGTACAAAATCAGCAGGGGATCAAATACTTTTTTCCCTCACTGTACATGTAGGCGGGGGATTAGGAGAAAGTGACTGGTAGCAAGTTAAATAATAATACTAATAGTAAACAGTATGGCAGCAGCATACGTGGTGGGTGTGTGCGTGGTGTTGAGAGTGTGTGTGTATGTAAGTGTAAGTGTTTGGCTGTTAGTGTGTGTGTGTGTGTGTGTGTGTGTGTGTGTGTGTGTGTGTGTGTGTGTGTGTGTGTGTGTGTGTGTGTGTGTGTGTGTGTGTGTGTGTGTGTGTGTGTGTGTGTGTGTGTGTGTGTGTGTGTGTGAGAGAGTGTCACTGTAGGTGTGATAGGCGGATATACTTGTAAACAGGGATGAAAAGTGACTGTTAGCAGGAATATATAAATACTTATGGTAATAACTAGTGGTAATATATATTTTATATATATACAGTGGGGAAAAAAAGTATTTAGTCAGCCACCAATTGTGCAAGTTCTCCCACTTAAAAAGATGAGAGAGGCCTGTAATTTTCATCATAGGTACACGTCAACTATGACAGACAAAATTAGATTTTTTTTTCCAGAAAATCACATTGTAGTATTTTTAATGAATTTATTTGCAAATTATGGTGGAAAATAAGTATTTGGTCAATAACAAAAGTTTCTCAATACTTTGTTATATACCCTTTGTTGGCAATGCCACAGGTCAAACGTTTTCTGTAAGTCTTCACAAGGTTTTCACACACTGTTGCCGGGTGGTCCTCTGTAGCTCAGCTGGTAGAGCACGGCGCTTGTAACGCCAAGGTAGTGGGTTCGATCCCCGGGACCACCCATACACAAAAATGTATGCACGCATGACTGTAAGTCGCTTTGGATAAAAGCGTCTGCTAAATGGCATATTATTATTATTATTATTTTGGCCCATTCCTCCATGCAGATCTCCTCTAGAGCAGAGATGTTTTGGGGCTGTCGCTGGGCAACACGGACTTTCAACTCCCTCCAAAGATTTTCTATGGGGTTGAGATCTGGAGACTGGCTAGGCCACTCCAGGACCTTGAAATGCTTCTTACGAAGCCACTCCTTTGTTGCCCGGGCGGTGTGTTTGGGATCATTGTCATGCTGAAAGACCCAGCCACGTTTTATCTTCAATGCCCTTGTTGAAGGAAGGAGGTTTTCACTCAAAATCTCACGATACATGGCCCCATTCATTCTTTCCTTTACACGGATCAGTCGTCCTGGTCCCTTTGCAGAAAAACAGCCCCAAAGCATGATGTTTCCACCCCCATGCTTCACAGTAGGTATGGTGTTCTTTGGATGCAACTCAGCATTCTTTGTCCTCCAAACACGACGAGTTGAGTTTTTACCAAAAAGTTATATTTTGGTTTCATCTGACCATATGACATTCTCCCAATCCTCTTCTGTGTCACGATCGTCTAATGAGGGAGACCAAAGCGCAGCGCGTTGAGCGAACATGACTTTATTAAATTAAAGTACTCACTACAAAAAAACAACAAACAATGACGAATCGTGAAGTCCTCAGTTACAATGACTGACAAGGAACAAAAACCCACAACACTAAGGTGAACACTGACAGTTTAAATATGGCTCCCAATCAGAGATAACGAGCCGACAGCTGACACTCGTTACCACTGATTGGGAGTCACACGACCAAACAAGGAAACCCAACCAAATACAACACAACCAATACCAAACACAACCAAATGAACACACCCTGGCTCAAAATACACAGTCCCGGAGCCAGAGCGTGACAGTACCCCCCCCCTAAAGGCGCGGACTCCGACCGCGCCTACACCCCAAATAGGGAAGGGCTGGGTGGGTATTGCTCCTCGGAGGCGGCTCCGGCTCCGGGCTTGACCACCACCCTACTACAATCCCCCCGTAGTGCCCCCAGTCCGATCTGACCCAGTTAGCTGGATCAGGACTGCCGACGCGCACCCCTGGCTTGGCGCGTGAGGCAGGAATGGACCGGACCTGGCAGACGATACGCACCCTTTGCATGGTGCGTGGAGCCGGAACAGGCCTCACCAGGCTGAAGACTCGCATCCCTGGCTTGGTGCGAGTAGCAGGAATGGGCTGAATCCGGCTGACGACTCGCACCCTTGGCTTGGTGCGAGTAGCAGGAATGGGCTGAATCCGGCTGACGACTCGCACCCTTGGCTTGGTGCGAGTAGCAGGAATGGGCTGAATCCGGCTGACGACTCGCACCCTTGACTTGGTGCGAGTGGCAGGAACAGGCAGAATCCGGCTGACGACTCGCACCCTTGGCTTGGTGCGAGTAGCAGGAACGGGCTGGACCAGGCTGGCGACTCGCACCCCTGGTTTGGTGCGAGTGGCAGGAACAGGCCGGACAGGGCTGACGAAACGCACCATAGACTTGGTGCGGAGAGCAGGCACGGGTCTGACAGGGCTGGCGACGCGCACCACAGACTTGGCGCGGAGAGCAGGAACGGGCCGGACAGGGCTGACGACGCACACCACTGGCTTGGTGCGGGGAGCTTGGATGGGCCGGACTGTACTGGGGACACACACCACTGGCCCTACACCGGGATCTGGAACGGGCCGGACCGGACTGGCAACACACGCCAGTACCTCTCGCCGTGCCTCTACTTCCTCCATCCCCTCTTCGACCAGTGGCCCCCGTAACCCGACGGCCTCCTCCGGCAACCCACTGGACCGCTCTATCGCGGCCTCCTGCTGGTCCGACGTCGTGAGCCCCCCCCTAAAAATTTTCTGGGGTTCTCTCCTCTTCGTGGACCAGGCCTCCATCGTTCTCGCCAGACTATCACCCCACTGCTCCAAAGTCCAACCTCTCTCCTCTTCTCTTGGCTTGGCCCAGTCGAGACTCCTACTCAACTGCTCCCAAGTCCATCCTCTCTCTTCTTCATGCTGCTTGATCTGGTTAAGGTGGGTTTTTCTGTCACGATCGTCTAATGAGGGAGACCAAAGCGCAGCGCGTTGAGCGAACATGACTTTATTAAATTAAAGTACTCACTACAAAAAACAACAAACAATGACGAATCGTGAAGTCCTCAGTTACAATGACTGACAAGGAACAAAAACCCACAACACTAAGGTGAACACTGACAGTTTAAATATGGCTCCCAATCAGAGATAACGAGCCGACAGCTGACACTCGTTACCACTGATTGGGAGTCACACGACCAAACAAGGAAACCCAACCAAATACAACACAACCAATACCAAACACAACCAAATGTACACACCCTGGCTCAAAATACACAGTCCCGGAGCCAGAGCGTGACAGTACCCCCCCCTAAAGGCGCGGACTCCGACCGCGCCTACACCCCAAATAGGGAAGGGCTGGGTGGGTATTGCTCCTCGGAGGCGGCTCCGGCTCCGGGCTTGACCACCACCCTACTACAATCCCCCCGTAGTGCCCCCAGTCCGATCTGACCCAGTTAGCTGGATCAGGACTGCCGACGCGCACCCCTGGCTTGGCGCGTGAGGCAGGAATGGACCGGACCTGGCAGACGATACGCACCCTTTGCATGGTGCGTGGAGCCGGAACAGGCCTCACCAGGCTGAAGACTCGCATCCCTGGCTTGGTGCGAGTAGCAGGAATGGGCTGAATCCGGCTGACGACTCGCACCCTTGGCTTGGTGCGAGTAGCAGGAATGGGCTGAATCCGGCTGACGACTCGCACCCTTGGCTTGGTGCGAGTAGCAGGAATGGGCTGAATCCGGCTGACGACTCGCACCCTTGACTTGGTGCGAGTGGCAGGAACAGGCAGAATCCGGCTGACGACTCGCACCCTTGGCTTGGTGCGAGTAGCAGGAATGGGCTGGACCAGGCTGGCGACTCGCACCCCTGGTTTGGTGCGAGTGGCAGGAACAGGCCGGACAGGGCTGACGAAACGCACCATAGACTTGGTGCGGAGAGCAGGCACGGGTCTGACAGGGCTGGCGACGCGCACCACAGACTTGGCGCGGAGAGCAGGAACGGGCCGGACAGGGCTGACGACGCACACCACTGGCTTGGTGCGGGGAGCTTGGATGGGCCGGACTGTACTGGGGACACACACCACTGGCCCTACACCGGGATCTGGAACGGGCCGGACCGGACTGGCAACACACGCCAGTACCTCTCGCCGTGCCTCTACTTCCTCCATCCCCTCTTCGACCAGTGGCCCCCGTAACCCGACGGCCTCCTCCGGCAACCCACTGGACCGCTCTATCGCGGCCTCCTGCTGGTCCGACGTCGTGAGCCCCCCCCTAAAAAATTTCTGGGGTTCTCTCCTCTTCGTGGACCAGGCCTCCATCGTTCTCGCCAGACTATCACCCCACTGCTCCAAAGTCCAACCTCTCTCCTCTTCTCTTGGCTTGGCCCAGTCGAGACTCCTACTCAACTGCTCCCAAGTCCATCCTCTCTCTTCTTCATGCTGCTTGATCTGGTTAAGGTGGGTTTTTCTGTCACGATCGTCTAATGAGGGAGACCAAAGCTCAGCGCGTTGAGCGAACACGACTTTATTAAATTAAAGTACTCACTACAAAAAACAACAAACAATGACGAATCGTGAAGTCCTCAGTTACAATGACTGACAAGGAACAAAAACCCACAACACTAAGGTGAACACTGACAGTTTAAATATGGCTCCCAATCAGAGATAACGAGCCGACAGCTGACACTCGTTACCACTGATTGGGAGTCACACGACCAAACAAGGAAACCCAACCAAATACAACACAACCAATACCAAACACAACCAAATGAACACACCCTGGCTCAAAATACACAGTCCCGGAGCCAGAGCGTGACATTCTGGATCATCCAAATGCACTCTAGCAAACTTCAGACGGGCCTGGACATGTACTGGCTTAAGCAGGGGGACACGTCTGGCACTGCAGGATTTGAGTCCCTGGCGGCGTAGTGTGTTACTGATGGTAGGCTTTGTTACTTTGGTCCCAGCTCTCTGCAGGTCATTCACTAGGTCCCCCCGTGTGGTTCTGGGATTTTTGCTCACCGTTCTTGTGATCATTTTGACCCCACGGGGTGAGATCTTGCGTGGAGCCCCAGATCGAGGGAGATTATCAGTGGTCTTGTATGTCTTCCATTTCCTAATAATTGCTCCCACAGTTGATTTCTTCAAACCAAGCTGCTTACCTATTGCAGATTCAGTCTTCCCAGCCTGGTGCAGGTCTACAATTTTGTTTCTGGTGTCCTTTGACAGCTCTTTGGTCTTGGCCATAGTGGAGTTTGGAGTGTCACTGTTTGAGGTTGTGGACAGGTGTCTTTTATACTGATAACAAGTTCAAACAGGTGACATTAATACAGGTAACGAGTGGAGGACAGAGGAGCCTCTTAAAGAAGAAGTTACAGGTCTGTGAGAGCCAGAAATCTTGCTTGTTTGTAGGTGACCAAATACTTATTTTCCACCATAATTTGCAAATAAATTCATAAAAAATCCTACAATGTGATTTTCTGGATTTCTTTTCCTCAATTTGTCTGTCATAGTTGACGTGTACCTATGATTAAAAATTACAGGCCTCTCTCATCTTTTTAAGAGGGATAACTTGCACAATTGGTGGCTGACTAAATACTTTTTTCCCCCACTGTATATATATATTTTTTTCACCTTTATTTAACCAGGTAAGCCAGTTGAGAAAAAGTTATAATTTACAACTGCGACCTGGCCAAGATAAAGCAAAGCAGTGCGATAAAAAAAATAAAACACAGAGTTACATATGGGGTAAACAAAACATAAAGTCAAAAATACAACAGAAGATATATATACAGTGTGTGCAAATGTAGCAAGTTATGGAGGTAAGGCAATAAATAGGCCATAGTGCAAAATAATTACAATTTAGTATTAACACTGGAATGATAGATGTGCAAGAGATGATGACTGGGGTGCAAATGAGCAAAATAAATAACAATATGGGGATGAGGTAGTTGGGTGGGCTAATTTCAGATGGGCTGTGTACAGGTGCAGTGATCGGTAAGGTGCTCTGACAACTGATGCTTAAAGTTAGTGAGGGAGATAAGAGTCTCCAGCTTCAGAGATTTTTGCAGTTTGTTCCAGTCATTGGCAGCAGAGAACTGGAAGGAATGGCGGCCAAAGGAGATGTTGGCTTTGGGGATGACCAGTGAGATATACCTGCTGGAGTGCATACTACGGGTGGGTGTTGCTATGGTGACCAATGAGCTAAGATAAGGCGGGGATTTGCCTAGTAGTGATTTATAGATGACCTGGAGCCAGTGGGTTTGGCGACGAATATGTAGTGAGGACCAGCCAACAAGAGCATACAGGTCACAGTGGTGGGTAGTATATGGGTCTTTGGTGACAAAACGGATGGCACTGTGATAGACTACATCCAATTTGCTGAGTAGAGTGTTGGAGGCTATTTTGTAAATGACATTGCCGAAGTCAAGGATCGGGAGGATAGTCAGTTTAACGAGGGCATGTTTGGCAGCATGAGTGAAGGAGGCTTTGTTGCGAAATAGGAAGCCAATTCTAGATTTAACTTTGGATTGGAGATGCTTAATGTGAGTCTGGAAGGATAGTTTACAGTCTAATCAGACACCTAGGTATTTGTAGTTGTCCACATACTCTAGGTCAGACCCGCCAAGAGTAATGATTCTAGTCGGGTGGGCGGGTGCCAGCTGCGTTCGATTGAAGAGCATGCATTTAGTTTTACTAGTGTTTAAGAGCAGTTGGAGGCTACGGAAGGAGTGTTGTATGGCATTGAAGCTTGTTTGGAGGTTTGTTAACACAGTGTCCAATGAAGGGCCAGATGTATACAAAATGGTGTCGTCTGCGTAGAGGTGGATCTGAGAGTCACCAGCAGTAAGAGCGACATCATTGATATACACAGAGAAAAGAGTCGGCTCGAGAATTGAACCCTGTGGCACCCCCATAGAGACTGCCATAGGTCCAGACAACAGGCCCTCCGATTTGACACATTGAACTCTATCTGAAAAGTAGTTGGTGAACCAGGCGAGGCATTTGAGAAACCAAGGCTATTTAGTCTGCCAATAAGAATGCGGTGGTTGACAGAGTCAAGAGCCTTGGCCAGGTCGATGAAGACGGCTGAACATTACTGTCTATTATCGATCGCGGTTATAATATCGTTTAGGACCTTGAGCGTTGCTGAGGATCACCCATGACCAGCTCGGAATCCGGATTGCATAACGGAGAAGGTACGGTGGGATTCGAAATGGTCGGTGATCTGTTTGTTAACTTGGCTTTCAAAAACGTTCAAAAGGCAGGGCATGATGGATATAGGTCTGTAACAGTTTGGGTCTAGAGTGTCACCCCCTTTGAAGAGGGGGATGACTGCGGCAGCTTTCCAATCTCTGGGGATCTCAGACGTTACGAAAGAGAGGTTGAACAGACTAGTAATAGGTGTTGCGACAATTTCGGCTGCTAATTTTAGAAAGAAAGGGTCCAGATTGTCTAGCCCAGATGATTTGTAGGGGTCCAGATTTTGCAGCTCTTTCAGAACATCAGCTGTCTGAATTTGTGTGAAGTAGAAGCGGGTGGTGGGGGGTGGGGGAGCATGGGCAAGTTGCAGCGGAGGGTGCAGAGCTGGTGGCCGGGGTAGTGGTAGCCAGGTGGAAAGCATGGCCAGCAAAATGCTTGTTGAAATTCTCGATTATTGTAGATTTATCGGTGGTTATAGTGTTTCCTAGCCTCAGTGCAGTGGCCAGCTGGGAGGAGGTGCTCTTATTCTCCATGGACTTTACAGTGTCCCAAAACTTTTTGGAGTTAGTGCTACAGGATGCAAATTTCTGTTTGAAGAAGCTAGCCTTTGCTTTCCTAACTGCTTGTGTATATTGGTTCCTAATTTCCCTGAAAAGTTGCATATCGCGGGGGCTATTCGATGCTAATGCAGTACGCCACAGGATGTTTTTGTGCTGGTCAAGGGCAGTCAAGTCTGAGGAGAACCAGGGGCTATATCTGTTCTTCTTGTTTTTAATGATGGGGCATGTTTATTTAAGATTGAGAGGAAAGCACTTTTAAAGAACAACCAGGCATCCTCTACTGACGGAATGAGATCGATATCCATCCAGGATACCTGGGCCAGGTCAATTAGGAAGGCCTGCTCGCTAAAGTGTTTTAGGGAGCGTTTGACAGTAATGAAGGTTGGTCTTTTGACCGCGGACCCGTTACGGACGCAGGCAATAAGGCAGTGATCACTGAGATCCTGGTTGAAGACAGCGGTGTATTTAGAGGGTAAGTTAGTCAGGATGATATCTATGAGGGTGCCCATGTTTACGGATTTAGGGTTGTACCTGGTAGGTTCCTTGATAATTTGTGTGAGATTGAGGGCATCTAGTTTGGATTGTAGGATGGCCGGGGTGTTAAGCATATCCCAGTTTAGGTCACCAAGCAGTATGAACTCTGAGGATAGATGGGGGGCAATCAATTCACATATGGTGTCCAGGGCACAGCTGGGGGTCTGTAGCAAGCGGCAACAGTGAGAGACTTATTTCTGGAAAGGTGGATTTTTAGAAGTAGGAGCTCAAACTGTTTGGGCACAGACCTGGATAGTATGATAGAGCTCTGCAGGCTATCTCTACAGTAGATTGCAACTCCACCCCCTTTGGCAGTTTTATCTAGATGGAAAATGTTGTAGTTGGGTATGGACATTTCAGAATTTTTGGTGGCCTTCCTAAGCCAGGATTCAGACACTGCTAGAACATCAGGGTTGGCGGAGTGTGCTAATGCAGTGAATAACTCAATCTTAGGAAGGAGGCTTCTGATGTTAACATGCAAAAGCCAAGGCTTTTACGGTTACAGAAGTCAACAAATTATAGCGCCTGGGGAGTAGGAGTGATACTGGGGGCTGCAGGGCCTGGGTTAACCTCTACATCACCAGAGGAACAGAGGAGGACTAGAATAAGGATACGGCTAAAGGCTTTAAGAACTGGTCTTCTAGTGCGTTTGGTACAGAGAATAAAGGGGGCAGATTTCCGGGTGTTGTAGAATAGATTCAGGGCATTATGTACAGACAAGGATATGGAAGGATATGAGTACAGTGGAGGTAAACCTAAGCGTTGGGTAACAATGAAAGAGATAGCATCACTGGAGGCACCGATTGAGCCGGTCTCGGCGTGTATGGGGGGTGGAACAAAGGAGCTATCTGAGGCAGTTTGAGAGGGACTTGGGGCTCTTCAGTGAAATTGTATAATAAGAACTAACTGGAACAGCCATAGGCAAGGCATATTGACATGGAAGAGAGGCATAAAGCAATCACAGGTGTTATTCGAGAGAGCTAAGACAACAACTGGTAATGGCGATGAAAGTTTGGGCTGAGGCTAAACAGATAAAACAGGACAGGGTACCGTGTAAAGGAACAGTCCAGCAGGCATCAGCTGTGCAGCTGAGTGATCATAAGGTCCAGTGAACAGCAATGTGAGTCCGAGAGCAGTTCGAATTGGTGCTACAGCACAGGCGATCAGGAAGCACGGCTGTTGAATTGCGTGTGCTAGCGGGCCGGGGCTAGCAGATGGATCTTCGTGGTCGTCGCAACGGGAAGCCTGTTGAAACCACAGACGATTACGTTGGCAGACCAGTCGTGATGGATCGGCGGGGCTCCGTGTCGACACTAGGAGGTCCCGTCCGGTTGACAGAGAGGTAGATAGCCGGGAGATGGGCCTGACTCAAGGCTAGCTCAAGGCTGATTAGCCAACCACAACATCCATTCGTTTGCAGCTAGCTAGTTGCGATGATCCGGTGTTAAAGGTCCAGTGATTCAGGTGATTCCGGCAGAAAATCCGATATGTTCTGGGTCGATAACGCGCTGTGCAGACTCAAGACATTTCAGCTTTTCATTTTTAATTAATTGAAAAAAAAAAATAATAATAATAATACTTTTACATTATTGGATATTGTGTGTAGACCAGTGACAGAAAATCTCAATTTAATCCATTTTAAATTCAGACTGTAACACATAAAAAAATAAAAATAATCAAAGGAAATGAAAACTTTCTAAAGCACTGTACATGTAAACAGGAGTAATTGTGACAAGTAGCAGGATAAAATAGATAGATACTAATGGTAATAGCAATCAATAATCAATGAACGGCAACATAGTGGTAGTAATAAATCGAATCAATAATCATTTTAGCTGTGCGTAGGTGTGACGGAGAGCAGTATTTGTTAACCATTTAACAGTCTTATGGCCAGGGGATAGAAGCTGTTTAGGAGTCTGTTGGTCTGTGTCTTGATGCACCGGTACCGTCTGCCAGACGGGAGCAAGGAGAACAGTCCATGTCTCGGGTGGCTGGAGTCTTTGGCAATTTTTGGGGCCTTTCTCAGACACCGCCTGGCATGTACGTCCTGGATAGAACAATGCAGCTGCTGCTGTTTAGAACCAGAGTTACCAAATGCAGTTTACTCATGAGATGTAGTGTAGCAGCTAGTTAGCTTGAAATAGATGATAAACCCATAAGGATATTAGTGAGGCCCAGGAACAGATGTGCTGTAATGATTGGTTTTATTAGTGGCTGTATTCTGTTAGATGGTTGTGATGTGATGCTCTTCACTGGGTTCATAGAGAGCATATTAGGTCATCTTTGCCTATATTGAAGAGGGAACACATTTCTTACATTTGAGTAAATTTGAGAGATTTATCAATGTGTATTTGATTTATAACAGTCATTCCTCTTTTTTTTTTTTTACATTTTAGTCGTTTTAGCAGACGCTCTTATCCAGAGCGACTTACAGTTAGTGAGTGCATACATTATTATTTTTTATTTTTTCATACTGGCTCCCCTTGGGAATCGAACCCACAACCCTGGCGTTGCAAACGCCATGCTCTACCAACCGAGCTACATCGCTGCCGGCCATTCCCTCCCCTACCCTGGGTGACGCTGGGTCAATTGTAGCCGCCCCATGGGTCTCCCGGTCGCGGCCGGCTACGACAGAGCCTGGATTCATCCCTGTGTAATGCTGGTTAGAGATGAATGGACACAAACAGTTTTGATAGGCAGTTCATTTAAAGACTATGCCACATCTCGGAAATGCCCAACTTTTTAATACCTTCAAGAAATTAAGATATTCTCAGTGGATAGAAAATATGCTAATGATGTTTTTTCTTTCCCTAAAGCCCCTCCCACTTTTACGACCACACCCCCACAGTATGTGGAGGCCAAGGAGGGGGGCAGCACTCTGCTGACTTGCTCCGCCCAGGGAAACCCCAAACCAATGATCAGCTGGCTGAGGGATGGGGAGAACCTTGCAACCAGTGGAAAATACACGGTAAGCCAAACTGGACAACAAATGTACTGTACCTCCGGCTAGAAATACATGCCCTTTAAACCTTGAATCAGCAGTGAAATGGCCTGTGAAAGTGATTCTATTTTAGGTCAGTGGAAATAAAACATGCTAGCTATTTTCTCCAGGTTAATATCGGATTTGTCAATTTTCTAGGGCTGCCATGACATTCTTTGATATTTAGGGAAAGGAGCCTTGAAGGTATGTGGATTCCAGATAATTTAGCCCTTTAAGTTCTTGGAGTCATTCAGATGTGACGTTGAAATCTTAGATATTATACCTGTCTTACATGCTTAAGACCAGCCCCACCCCACCGCTTCTGAAGATGTCACTGCTCCTGATGTTTTTTTTGCTATGGAACAAAGGTACAGTAAGCACTGAACAGTATGGAAATATTCAGAACAACTACGTATGGCTAGGCTATACAATACAAGCTTTCACAGACTCCAAAACAGTCTCTACACAATGTTCTCATGCCTGATGAAGACAATTTGAGTTGTGAATGGATTATCATTTGATGAAAACTGATTATTTGTCTAAAAACATGCCTTTTCCTCGATCTGGGTACTTGGGCTGTAGATATACCATACAATCTTTCACAGACTCCAAAACAATGTGTACACAATGTTATCAGTTTAGGGAAGCCTGATCATGACAATTTACAGTTGTGAATGCTACACTCTTTTTATGAAAATGTATGATTTGTTTTGATTAAAAACATGCATTTTCCTCTATCTGGGTACTCAGACTAAGCTGTAGATATACCGTAAAAGCTTTCACAGACGCCAAAACATTCTCTCAATCTACACTATTTTGGTGGCAATACAGTAGGTCATTTTCTTAAAACGTGCATTTTCGTCTATCTGGATACTCAGACTGGCTGTAGATAAGCTTATTCATTCTGTTTCATAACTAATGTTCAAGTAAGAAGGCAGTCTATAGGTGTGGTGTTGTATGCTGGAGGAAATCTTCAGCACACACCACCATCTGCCTGAGTATACGTGAGACTGCTGTCTGTCTGTGCACTTTTCACTGCACCCAGATTGCAGATCGAGAAGCCCTTAATTGGACTGTCTGGCATGTCTGTGATTGGCCAGGAGAGTCTGTCAGTCAGGCTGCAGAAGGCCTGCAGAGGGCGGGTCCCTGAGGGGAGGAAGAACAGTCCAGGCGTGTCAAGCCTCGGTTGCACCCCCTCTCTCATTTGTCATGTTTTGAGTTAGTGTTCCAGTTCTCTTTAAGGAACCCTGTGAACCATGGACAACCCCCTCTCTCACCCCTCTCTCACCCCTCTCTACACTCAGATGTTTCAGATGGAGTAAATCCCTGAGCTTGCTGAAGGCTTGCTGAAGGCTGCACCTAACATTTGGACTTGATGTGTGACGTACAGGAAGTGACAGCTCGCCTCATTCCTGTGTCATTGTGTCTGTCACTCAGCGAGCTGGCCCTGTGTCTTATCCCTCTCTCACCCCTCTCTCACCCCTCTCTCATCCCTTTATCATCCCTCTCTCAGCTAGTCACCCTTCTCTCATCCCTCTTTCATCCCTCTCTTTCATCCATCTCTCTCACCCCTCTCTTTCATCCATCTCTCACCCCTCTCTCATCCCTCTCTCTCTCTTATCCCTCACCCTCTCTCACCCCTCTCTCATTCCTTTCCTCAACCCCTTTCTTATCCCTCTCGCTAATCCCTCTCTTCCCTCTCTTGTTCCCCTCTGTCACCCCTCTCTCTCACCCCTCTCTCTCACCCATCTCTCACTCCTCCCTCACCCCTCTCTCATCCCTCTCTCTCACCCATCTCAGGCTCCCACACCACAGCCTCATCAAAGGTTAGAGTGGAGGAGCCCAGGGCTTTAACATGTTCGCCTTAGTAAACGATCGGAAGACTTCCTCATCCCTCCTACTGCATCAATATTACGTTACTCTTAATATAAATGTTATACTAAACATGAATATCAACAGTGAGCCAAGTGCCTCACATCAAAGAGCATGCTTTGATGCACACAGCATTTAGGCGTATTGGTAGTAACGGTGGAATATGTTTATGATTTGTTTGAACCCTCAAATTGCTTTTGATTGGTTTGCTGTGAGAGGAAGCTAGAAAAAAATGTATATACCCAAACAAGCCATAGTCTATACATTTGAGGACTCCCATTGTAGTAAAGAGATGGTGGTAATGATTGCGCTCCATGGATAACTGGTGTCCATGAGGACTTGGTAGAGAATGGCAGGAATATGACAGTGGAGAGAAGAGGAGGAATCATGGTCATCATCTCAGCACCCCCTGCTGTTTGAGATCCCACACATTAGTCAATGTGTTGTGTCTGAACTCCTCCTCCTCCTCCTCCACATCCACCTTCGTCTTCTCATCCTCCCCTCCCCTCCCCATCCTCCCCTCCCCATCCTCCCATCCCCATCCTCCCCTCCCCATAGAAATGGCCTGCTGACTATTACACTGCTGCAAGTGTAGTGTAGGTTACTGTGTCATAACTGTGGCCCAGCTATGTGTGTTTGTCCTGCCATGGAGTGGGATTAACAGGGAGTCCTACCTCAGCTGGGCTGACCCAAGGCAGGATGGACCACTGTTTGGGTGTGTCTAGTGGCTGCTAAACTCTCTTGGCTAAAAGGTTTGAGAGACAGATTAATAGGTATAATCCCAGAGGTTTAGCAGATTCTCTCCCGTTTGCTTGAATGGACAGGGCTACAGCTGTGTGTAACCTGAATGGACAGAACCCAACAACCCTACTGCATAATTTACGAGGGTATTTTTATTAGGTTGGGTTAATGTGTTCCCTCCCTGCTTATTGGTTCCAGTCTGCGTCCTCCTCGGCAGAGGGGAGAGGTAATACAGGTGCACAGTGAGACGTTTCCCAGGTTACCACCTGGAGAGATTAGCTTCACATCACAACCAAAGTTAATTAGAGAATAACTTCGTCCCCAGGCTTTTGCGCACAGCGCATATAAGCCTGGGATATCAACCACTCAAAGCTTTCCTTAGTGGGAGTGACCATAGAATTCTATGGGTGTGACCTGAGTAAAGTATTTGTCATTTAATTTTAGCGAATCACACAACTGCAAGGCGTGGCTCTGTGGGAGAGTTAGGGGGAAGGTGTTGTGGGAGATGATTGGTTGGTAGATTAAGCCAATTAAGCCAATGCCTATGCGCCTGGAGTTTATCTTGGCTCTCTGTATTAGCTCACGAAGGCCAAGTTTGATGCATTGGTCTACCAGACTCTTCGCGCATTTGGGCGGAAGTATCTGGGAACGAGATTAATTCGAGAATTACATGATGATGAGTTTAGACTTTAGAGTATTGGTTGTATGCTCTCTATATTAATACCTCTGTACACAGACCTACCCACCGACTCACAGAGCGAAACATACATTCCGACCAAAGACAAAAAAAACTCAATCTTGCCTTGATTTTGGTGTGCCATTTCACTAGGTTATGCTTATACATTTTACATTTTAGTCATTTAGCAGACGCTCTTATCCAGAGCGACTTACAGTTAGCGAGTGCATACAACTTCATACTGGCCCCCCGTGGGAAACGAACCCACAACCCTGGCGTTGAAAGCGCCATGCTCTACCAACTGAGCTAGAGGGGACTATAAATACCATCTCTGTATTTTTGATCTGTCTCTCACAAACTTGTCCACCCCAGGTGCATGATGGGAGTCTGACAGTGCTGGGGATCACTCGGGACGACAGAGGGGCGTATACGTGTCGAGCCTTCAGCGACCAGGGAGAGGTGCTCCACACCACCCGTCTGCTGGTCCAAGGTAAGAGGACAACGGTCACACTGTAACGTCACAGATGGATGGAACTTCAGAGGATGGAACTTGGGAGTCCCATAGGGCGGCGCACAATTGGCCCAGCGTCGGTTATGGTGGTGTGAGGGAGAAATCATGACTTTTCTCTACTGAGGTGCACACTGATTATGAGTTTTGAGGAGAAGGTTCCTAGGACAATTGCTGGCTGAATACTGAAAGAACAGTTTGTCCTGACTGTCTGAATAATCCCTTATCCGAGAATCTTTAGGCTATTTTTGCCCTACACATGCTATTAAACATCTATTACACGCCTACAGCTATGCAGTACAGTGTCTAGATTGTGTTTAAGATAGAGAAATTAAGTCCTGCCGCTATCTACTTAATAAGTCTCTGTTTCCTGCCTTTGTCACAGTATGCAGGGATAGTGTTTGGTTTTATCAGTGTGGTAGTATGGTTTAGTCTGTATAAGTCAATACTCTTAAGTCCTCTGGTGACCTAGTCTGCTGCTGCTGCTGCTGGTAGTGTGTGTATATCACTGTCTGTCTGAGGCGTACATCACTGTCTGTCTCCGGTCCATTAACCAGGCTCTCTCTCGCCTAGACAGACACAGACACAGATCTGGGCTCTGCTCTGCTCTGATAAATGGATCTGATACAGGCTTCCTCCACTTCCTGCCTCTGCCTCTGCCTCTCTCAGTCTACATCAAAATCAAATACACACACACACACACACACACACACACACACACACACACACACACACACACACACACACTCTCTCTCTCTCTCTCTCTCTCTCTCTCTCTCTCTCTCTCTCTCTCTCTCTCTCTCTCTCTCTCTCTCTCTCTCTCTCTCTCTCTCTCTCTCTCTCTCTCTCTCTCTCTCTATCTAGCACTGGATGAGTTAACAGCCGATGGAGCAGGTTGGTTTTATGGTAGGCTTGCTAGGTTTGATGGTGGGGTAAAGATGTGTCAATTTCAGTCAATGTGCAAGTGTCTAAAAGGAGGATGGGCAAGAAGTGCTTGTTTACATCTTGGATTTTGAGTAAGGTTTACTCTATTGAGCCCTCTAAACACTCGCACACACTGCATGCACATGCCTGATAATACATTAAGTTTTTAATTAATTGGTCTGACTCCTCATAAACCTCATACATGTCTTAGATGGTTTGAATAAAGTTTTTACAAATCCAGAGTGATTTGGAATGTTTGGTACACCAGCAATATTGCAGCCTGTTTTTGTTTTTCATTAAGGAGTATCCATCCAGAAGCAGGCTCTGTGGAAATGTGCCAGTGAAGTTGTCTAAGGCTCTCTGAGCAATTACAAGCAGCTATCGGATGAGTCGTGATTCTCACTAAAATTATCTGTTTTTATTTGTTCTGTGACTTAACCACTCTTTCAGTAGTCCTTCCTGGTGTATAAAGCCATTCAGTGTGTATTTATGAAATAACCAGGAGGCTTGTAGCTGGGCCCACTTATAAAAGACAGCTTACGTTTCACTGTCTGTAATATAGTACAGAGAGATAGAGAGCAGAACACCAACCTCAGGGCACCGAGGGTTCATGCTGTGGAGGCATCTGCAAGTCTGGCAACCAAGTATGTGGTTCAAGTTACAATATGCCTGCTTACTGTATCTCATAGGCTACTAGAGAGAAGCCTGTGCTAGGGGTCTACTGTAACAATTAACAGATGCTGTCTGAATGGGTCATAAGAGAATAATTTGAGTATCCATATCTACACTGAACAAAAATATAAACGCAACATGTAAAGTGTTGGTCCCATGTTTCATGAGCTGAAATAAAAGATCCCAGACATTTTCCATAATCACAAAAAGCTGATTTCTGTCAAATGTTGTGCACACATATGTTTACATCCCTCTTAGTGAGCATTTCTCCTTTGCCAAGATAATCCATCCACCTGACAGGTGTGGCATATCAAGAAGCTGATTAAACAGCATGATCATTACACAGGTGCACCTTGTGCTGGCGACAATAAAAGGCCACTAAAAAATGTTTTGAGGGAGAGTGCAATTGCCATGCTGACTGCAGGAATGTCCACCAGAGCTGTTGCCAGATAATTTAATGTTCATTTCTCTACCATAAGCTGCCTCCAACGTCGTTTTAGAGAATTTGGCAGTACGTCCAACCGGCCTCACAACCACAGACCACGTGTAACCATGCCAGCACAGGACCTCCACATCCGGCTTCTTCATCTGCGGGATCGTCTGAGACCAGCCACCCGGACAGCTGATGAAACAGTGGGTTTGCACAACAGAATAATTTCTACACAAACTGTCAGAAACCGTCTCAGGGAAGCTCATCTGCGTGCTCGTCATCTTCACCAGGGTCTTGACCTGACTGCAGTTCGGCATCGTAACCGACTTCAGTGGCAAATACTCACCTTCGATGGCTACTGGCACGCTAGAGAAGTGTGCTCTTCACGGATTAATCCTGGTTTCAATTGTACCGATTGACTGATTTCCTTATATGAATTGTAACTCAGTAAAATCTATGAAATTGTTGCATGTTGCGTTTATATTTTTGTTCAATCTATGTTTTGTTGTACACTAAAAGCCTTTGTTTGTTTCCTGTAGGGCCACCGTATATTAAGTCACCGCCAGAGAACATTACTGTCAACATATCCCAGAATGCACGCTTCACCTGTCAAGCAGAGGCGTATCCTGGCAACCTGACCTACACCTGGTTTTGGGAGGAAGATAACGTGTACTTCACTAAGAAGTAAAGTTATAATCAAGATCTTGTGTCTGTTTGTCTGTGTGACTTCCCTTTGGTCTTTGTCTTTTCCACCCTGTCATCTAAAGGCTTTTGAATCTTGTGTCCTCTCCTGTGATCGTATTTGAGTCTTCCAGACCCTGTCCTGGTGTTGTGAATTTGAATGTGTGTGTGTTTCTGTCTGTGTGTGTACAGTGAGGGGAAAAAAGTATTTGATCCCCTGCTGATTTTGTATGTTTGCCCACTGACAAAGAAATGATCAGTCTATAATTTTAATGGTAGGTTTATTTGAACAGCGAGAGACAGAATAACAACAAAAAAATCCAGAAAAACGCATGTGAAAAATGTTATAAATTGATTTGCATTTTAATGAGGGAAATAAGTATTTGACCCCTCTGCAAAACATGACTTAGTACTTGGTGGCAAAACCCTTGTTGGCAATCACAGAGGTCAGACGTTTCTTGTAGTTGGCCACCAGGTTTGCACACATCTCAGGAGGGATTTTGTCCCACTCCTCTTTGCAGATCTTCTCCAAGTCATTAAGGTTTCGAGGCTGACGTTTGGAAACTCGAACCTTCAGCTCCCTCCACAGATTTTCTATGGGATTAAGGTCTGGAGACTGGCTAGGCCACTCCAGGTCCTTAATGTGCTTCTTCTTGAGCCACTCCTTTGTTGCCTTGGCCGTGTGTTTTGGGTCATTGTCATGCTGGAATACCCATCCACGACCCATTTTCAATGCCCTGGCTGAGGGAAGGAGGTTCTCACCCAAGATTTGATGGTACATGGCCCCGTTCATCATCCCTTTGATGCGGTGAAGTTGTCCTGTCCCCTTAGCAGAAAAACACCCCCAAAGCATAATGTTTCCACCTCCATGTTTGACGGCGGGGATGGTGTTCTTGGGGTCATAGGCAGCATTCCTCCTCCTCCAAACACGGCGAGTTGAGTTGATGCCAAAGAGCTCCATTTTGGTCTCATCTGACCACAACACTTTCACCCATTTCTCCTCTGAATCATTCAGATGTTCATTGGCAAACTTCAGACGGGCATGTATATGTGCTTTCTTGAGCAGGGGGACCTTGCGGGCGCTACAGGATTTCAGTCCTTCACGGCGTAGTGTGTTACCAACTGTTTTCTTGGTGAATATGATCCCAGCTGCCTTGAGATCATTGAAAAGATCCTCCTGTGTAGTTCTGGGCTGATTCCTCACCATTCTCATGATCATTGCAACTCCACGAGGTGAGATCTTGCATGGAGCCCTAGGCCGAGGGAGATTGACAGTTATTTTGTGTTTCTTCCATTTGCGAATAATCGCACCAACTGTTGTCACCTTCTCACCAAGCTGCTTGGCGATGGTCTTGTAGCCCATTCCAGCCTTGTGTAGGTCTACAATCTTGTCCCTGACATCCTTGGAGAGCTCTTTAGTCTTGGCCATGGTGGAGAGTTTGGAATCTGATTGATTGATTGCTTCTGTGGACATGTCTCTTTTATACAGGTAACAAGCTGAGATTAGGAGCACTCCCTTTAAGAGTGTGCTCCTAATCTCAGCTCGTTACCTGTATAAAAGACACCTGGGAGCCAGAAATCTTTCTGATTGAGAGGGGGTCAAATACTTATTTCCCTCATTAAAATGCAAATAAATTTATAACATTTTTTGACGTGTGTGTGTGTGCTGGTGCCCTGTTCTTCTGTGGTCCGGCAGCAGTAAGAGAGGGCCTAGCAGGGGGCTGTCTGGAGCATGCCAGCCGGGTTAGCACGCTCTGATGACAATACCACATGCCTGTTATACTGTAGTAATGATCTGAAGCGTAGCCAGGAGCTCTGTCAGACTCGCCCCAAGCACTGCTTTAGTTTAGTGATGAAGACGTTTTAGAAAGAACAAGTGACTGGGAGACCAAGTGTCTGTCTGGGAGAATCAACCTGTCAGAGAGTCCCTTAGAAAGAGGCCCATCTCAAATTGTTTTCTAAAGGCCTGGAAAAAGGCTGTGCATAATCAACCCTAGGATAAGACACTACTATCCTAGTTGGGATGCTTACAATGTTTGGTCTATCCTGGGAGCCAACAGTCTATCACGAGAGGATATTTTTGGTCTAATCACAATATTTATTTACTCAAATAGATACAATGTATAGTTTAGATGAATTCATAGTTTACATTAGAATATTCCCTCTGCTATTTCTTTTGCATAATGTCCTCTCAAATATTACTCAAATTAACATGGTGTGCAGTGGGTTTGTTCTTTGTTTGAAACACAGTGGGAATAGAATATCTGCCAGTGTACACTTCATGAGGGTACTTCATTTAAAGTGGCAGTGAGAGAGAAAACACGAGGGCTGCAACATCAGGTGATTGTGGAAATTAGGGGATATATCAAAGATTCAATCATCAATCATGGACAGTCTTACTGACAGTTGTGGCTGCTTTGCGTGATGTATTGTTGTCTCTACCTTCTTGCCCTTTGTGCTGTTGTCTGTGCCCAATCATGTTTGTACCATGTTATGCTGCTACCATGTTGTGCTGCTGCCATGTTGTGTTGCTGCCATGTTGTTGGCATGTTGTGTTGCTGCCATGCTTTGTTGTTGTCTTAGGTCTCTCTTTATGTAGTGTTGTGGTGTCTCTCTTGTCGTGATGTGTGTTTTGTCCTATATATATATATATATATATATATAATTATTTGTTTTATCCCCCGTCCCCGCAGGAGGCCTTTTGCCCTTTGGTAGGCCGTCATTGTAAATAACAATTTGTTCTTAACTGTCTTGCCTAGTTAAATAAAGGTTAAATAAAATAAATAAAAAATATTTGACACGCAACTGCTCAATCTTTTGGAAGCTATTCAGCCTGGATGGATTTGACCAAATGCTGCCCTCTCATGGCAGACTTGTGTAATTGCATTAATGCAGCCCCAGTGTGTGAGTGTGTCTATGCTATGGCATGTTCGATAACTGTCTGCTTCCTCTCGGCAGTGACCTGAAAAACAGAGTCCGCATCCTCATCGACGGAACCCTCCACATCTTCCGGGTGAAACCAGAGGATGCTGGGAAATACACCTGCAGCCCAAGCAACAGCCTCGGAACTCCACCGTCAGCGTCAGCACACCTCTCTGTTCAGTGTGAGTGTTACCGTGGCGACGGAGAGAGGGAGGGTGGGGGGGGCAGACAAGGCTGGCTGGCTGTACTGGAACAGGAGGAGAAACAACAGTATCACAGCCTGCATAGTGGCAGCCAGAACACTGCTGCTCAACAGGATTGTCATCGGTGATGCAGTACCATACATATCGCCCTGCTGAAACTTTTCCACCCTTGGCTGAATTTCAGAGTCAATGGTCGGGATGAGGGAATGATTAGATAGTCCTACTGCTCATCATCTTGGTAGGGCCTCTCTCATCACCATATTCTTAGCATTTTTTCCCGTCTATGATTCCAGTCTCTGTAGAGTTGATTATATTTCATTGCTAGACACTGACAGAGACAGTCTGCTAGTCTCACCCCATAGCATGCTGCTCAGTCTGTCCTTCTCCCCTTAGAGAAAGAGTACTGGTCTCCTCAATGTGCCAGACTGAATTGAAACGGTGACCTTTTAGTTAATCTGTTACTGTATGTGGAAGGGAAATGCAGAGAGAGAGAGAGAGAGAGAGAGAGAGAGAGAGAGAGAGAGAGCCGACCATGACTGTCTTTGTGATTGGCTTCAGAGGGTGACCAGAGCCCCTCGCTGGAGCGAAAAACCAAATTCTGCAGTCTTACAGAACTGTCCTCTTTCCTGTTATGTACAATCCAAGTTGATAGCTAAAGACAATTAGTTAGCAGCTAGCTTGGGCCGCTATAAAGTAACTTATAAAATATATATTTTTTATTGGTTTCCATACCGACCAACTTATTATAGGAGAAGTACCTGGCAGTTGTAATTGTGATTGAACAGTTTCAGACTTTATGCTCCAGTCTATTTTCACTGAAACCATCTCCTGTCCATCTGCACAAAACCTCATGCTCTGTCCTCTCTTACCTCTAATTTCTGACCCTCAGACCCTGCCCGCGTGCTCAACATGCCCTCCATCATATACGTCCCACGGAAACTGCCAGGGGTCATCCGCTGCCCGGCGGATGCCAACCCGCCGGTGATATCAGTGAAGTGGGAGAAAGATGGTTACCCTCTCAGAGTGGAGAAGGTCAGTCTCAGTCTGCCATCCGTGGGGGTCTCTGTCTGTCTGGACTGATGCTGATTATTATCATTCACCATAACAGCTGTTCACAAAGCATCCCAGAGTAGGATTGCTGATCTAGGATCCCTTTTAGGTTTTCCCCGCTACTGAATATGACTATATGGACACGGAGGACCTGATCCTAGATCAGCACTCCTTCTTTAACACACTTTGAATGCTGTGGAGAATATTGCATCCCTGTGATGTTGAGTGTACCTCCTCTCTCCTGTCCCAGTACCCCGGATGGAGCCAGGCGCCAGATGGGAGTATCCGGGTGGCGGAGGCCACAGAAGACTCCCTTGGCACCTACACCTGTATGCCTTACAATGCCCTGGGTACTATGGGCCAGTCCGACCCGGCCACTCTGGTGCTAAAGGTACTGGTACTGGAAGAAACCTCTGACCAAATGTGATATGTGTAGTCTTCTCTCTCCCCCTTTTGGTGAGACTTGTTGTGAGACTTGGTCTGTGACATTGTGTGTGTGTTGGCCAACAGGATCCCCCTTACTTTAACGTGAGGCCTGGTGGGGAGTACCGCCAGGAGGCTGGTAGAGAGCTGGTCATCCCCTGTGCTGCCTCGGGAGACCCTGAGATACCAACCATCACCTGGAGGAAGGTATGAAACCACACTACAGCTGGGAGTAGTCTGAGAAGAGAAATATGGAAAACTCTAACTGCTTTTGTAATATGACAGACTAGTCCCAGTGAACTGTGTGTGTGTGTGTGTGTGTGTGTGTGTGTGTGTGTGTGTGTGTGTGTGTGTGTGTGTGTGTGTGTGTGTGTTCAAGGTGGGGAAGCCCAGCAAGAGTAAGCACAACATCCTCCCGAGCGGCAGCTTACAGTTCCTGTCCCTCAGCAAGGAGGATCATGGGGAATGGGAGTGTGTGGCCACCAATGTGGTCACCAGCATCACTGCCAGCACGCTCCTCCTCGTCATCGGTACCGTCCCCTGTGACCTCATAACCCTCTGTCCCCATGCATGTCTGATGTTCCTAGTCATCGGTACAGTCCCCTCTGTGTTTTCTCAGTTCTTCAGGGTTCAGAATTTCAGTTAATCTAAATTGAAGTGGAATTGAAGTGGATTTGACAGCAACCCTGCAGCTCTCTGTTCCCATTCATGATGACCCTAGTCCTAGCTGTACTGTATGTATACTGAAGTACTGCTTAGACAAGTGACTAGCTTGTGCGTGTTTACAGTACATATGAGTAATAAGCATACCTCAGGACTCTCACAGTCATACACCCTAGCTGGCACTTTCCCAACTGTCCCCTCACTGGAGTGACAGGTGACATGTCAGAGGTGCTGAGTGTGGAGCGGACAGCTTTGACGTTTCTGACCGTAGTGGTCAGGACAGCAGGTCTCCCAAGCCATAGACCTTCACTCCCCTTCACCTCACCATTAGTCAACAACACCTCACAGTACAGGGCATTAGCCAATCAGATAGGCCATTCACAGCCATTGTAGACAGTTGTATACTGTAGAGGACTGTGAATGGTAGCAGCACAATGTACATTATTTTTGGACAATGATAGTGATTCAGAGTGAGATGGCTTTTTATACATTGACAAAACAGCTGTTATGGGAATAACACACTTGACCCATACTGTGGTCATCTTAACCTTCACCATACAGTACACATAGACCTAACAGATTGCTCTATCACTCTTTAGTGTGGGCCAGAGCAATATACAGTAGAGAGATATAGAGAGGTATACTGTAGATGGGTCTGGTATTAAATATGACAGTTTCTTTTCTCTGACCCTCAGGCACCAGCCCACACGCTCCAGGCAACATCCGTGTGTTGCCCTCTGTGACCTCGGCCAATGTGTCCTGGGAGCCGGGTTACGACGGAGGCTTTGAGCAGACATTCTCAGTGTGGTATGGCCCAGTGTGAGTACTCCCAGCATACTCTAGTCTACTATCACATCTTATACTCAGATTGCAGCTGATTCCCATAATAGAGCTGGGGGGACAGAGACTTTGGGGATTGATCTGCTATAGATATGTAGGGATTAGGGCTCTTAAATTGACCGTATTACCGCCACACCGGCGCCATGAGTCATAATAATAATAATAATATTCTATTTAGCAGACGCTTTTATCCAAAACGACTTACAGTCATGTGTGCATACATTTTTACGTATGGGTGGTCCTGGGGATCGAACCCACTACCCTGGCGTTACAAGCACCATGCTCTACCAATTGAGCTACAGAGGACCACACTGCAGTCAAATTCCACGGGACCGTTTAGTCACGGTAACTAGGCTTCTCCAAGCTCTGATGCTGCTGATGGTCATTAGTAGCCTACCAAACTTGCTAACTACCTGGTACTCAGCACTCTATTGTCCCTCTAATCACTCTGAGGTCAATGCAAATGTAATTGAAAATGTAATCAAACACTTCATGAGAGCCCATGAGCTCATGTTGTGCAGCATTTCTATAGGCAATGCAATTGCGTGAGAAAACAGAGTTTTGATGGCCTCTATTAAGCTTTCTATAGGCTTACTATATTTATTTCTCAACTTTCCTAATATTAAGCACATTGCTTCTCTTTACAACAGGAGTATAGCCTAACTGGCTGGCATGAAAATGAACGACGGGAAAAGCATCTTCCATTTGCTATTTCATTGCATACAGTGGCTCGCAAAAGTATTCACCCCCCTTGGCATTTTTCCTATTTTGTTACCTTACAACCTGGAATTAAAATTGATTTTTGGGGGATTGTATCATTTGATTTACACAACATGCCTACCACTTTGAAGATACAAAATATTTTTTCTTGTGAAACAAACAAGAAATAAGACCAAAAAAAACAGAAAACTTGAGCGTTCATAACTATTCACCCCCCCAAAGTCAATACTTGTAGAGCCACCTTTTGCAGCAATTACAGCTGCAAGTCTCTTGGGGTATGTCTCTATAAGCTTGGCACATCTAGCCACTGGGATTTTTGCCCATCTTCATTGCAAAACTGCTCCAGCTCCTTCAAGTTGGATGGGTTCGCTGGTGTACAGCAATCTTTAAGCACAGATTCTCAATTGGATTGAAGGGGGGGGATGAATACTTTTGCAAGGTACTGTAGATGACATGTATTTTTTTCCCCTGCCCCTGTTTTGAGACAGGTGCATGATAATGGTCCATTCTAAATCAAAACAAATTTCACACATATATTATTTAGTATATGTAAAGAGAAGATTAAATCAAGAATAGTCTGATGGGTGACAATATTAGTCTATCACTTGTGAATTATATATTATCACTTGTGAATGATGCCCAGGTTGTGTGCAGTAAGGCAAGAAACAGCACATTCCTTTTTTTGGTGACTTTTTCAAATCATAGTCGCACACCTCATGTAGCCTAGCCCATAGGCCTATATGTTTTGCTAAGATTTGTATCACAACTAAAGTGGCCAGATAACTTCTTAAAATTAAGCACATTAATCCGCTTTACAACGGGTGTAGAGCCTAACTGGCATACATAGGCAGCGGGTGAGTTTCAAGTTTGGGAAGATAATCTTCACCATAAAAATGGACCTTTATAATAAAGCATTACATGCATAATCACATTTTTGAGAATGGTGTTTTCCCGCTAATTGATTGCATTTTGGAACATTCATGCTTATAGCCTACTGCCGTGTGCGCATTGCTGTGCTTATAATGTGAAGAAATAGCCTAATACTGTAGTTTATCAACATTTTAAGATAAACGTTCTGATCTGCTGCATAAGCCTCATTGCTTTTCAAAAAAAAAAATTATGCTAGTGGTTGTATTAATTTGGGATCTATCGCATCCCACAACTCTCCCAGAGTATGTTTGGAATATTTATTTATTGCACAGAAGGACAAGTTGACCAATAGAATAGGTCAACTTTCGTACTATGGGGGATAGTAGATTGACATAAGCTAGTGCTTTTGCTGTTTGTTAGGCCTACTCATCTTGTTGGCTGACAAAAAGTAAATTTGAACAGTTCTTCTAACATCTTCAATATGCGGCTATGAATTTGATAAGGACGCCTGCAGTTGTGTCCCCGATGTATCTCTCTTCACTTGTAGCCTGTGAGAAGGACTCGAGATGCTGTGAGAAGGACCCGATCACATGACGGGCATTGGCTAATAAGAATTGAGATATCTGAGCGAGCCATGTGAGTGAGAGGTGCTTCGGAGCACGCAGCCAGGAGAAGGGAATTATAATTATTATATTCAGCACAAGGGCACCATGGCCACTGGCTGCAATAGGCATGGATCTTTTTTAAGGGGGCATTACGGCAACACAAAGGGGATGCCACCGGGAAATTCGAGGCATTATCAAGTGCTTGTCATATTGTGAATGAGAGACTAATGAAGTGTGTGCAGCCTGCGCAAAAACTAAGTAGAGCTCATGCCTTTCATGCAACCTTTTTCACATCATCATTAGAGTCGCATCATAGAATGTATTAAAAATCTAAACATATAGCCCAACGTTTGTATCACAACTAAAGTTGCATAAATAACTCTAAATTAAGCATATAGGAGGACCTGTTTCTTTGTTAACCACTCAAAACAGAATAGCCACATGTGCGCACTCCCTTAAATCGTTTGGAGAAAATATCCTTTCTATTTTATTCAGCTATGTTCAATTGTATTATTCATACTATAAAATAATATAAATAACGCCACAGAATTTTAAGAAAATATTGTCTGCTAAATGAACTAGTGTAGCCCACAGTCATATGGCATAGCCAGATCAAGGCCTAACATAAGGACAACTCAGAGTATGCTATTCTGTTCTTCGGAAATAGACTACATTTTCCTCATATCATGTTTCTTTAGACCTGTCTAAAATAAATAATGGATTTATTGTGATGGTGTAGGCTATATTAAATGGATTTATTAGACTTTTTAAAATGTAGATTGTCATGTCCGTTTAAGGACGGGTCAGACCAAGGTGCAGCGTGAAATGCGTACATGTTAATTTCACCGATACAACCAAACTAACAAAACAACAAACCAACGAAACGTGAAGTCCTAAGGCTAAACACAAAACAAGCCTACTCACGGAACAAGATCCCACAACTAATGCATGCCAACAGGCTGCCTAAGTATGATCCCCAATCAGAGACAATGAGCGACAGCTGTCTCTGATTGGGAATCACACCCGGCCAAACACAGAACTACAACACCTAGACTGAAACATAGAAAACACAACATAGAACACCACACCCTGACTCAACATATAAGAGTCCCCTGAGTCAGGGCGTGACATAGATGTTCCAAAGGTCTGCATCAGTGGCTTGTAGACTATGTGTAGAAGCCAGGAGATGCTAAGTATGTTTATGTTAATTAATGGTCTGTTACCGTGAGACCGCCAGTTATTTGCTTGACAATCAATGGCTGACAACATTTAATGACCGCCACAGCCCTAGTAGGGATCTGATTTGTTATCAATAAGGAAACCTATTGATAATTGAATTACTTGAATTACTGCAACAGTATCCAGGGGCAAACATACTATCTTCAACAGGCAGGTTTTACAATGCACAGTGCTAATGGTTTATTACTCAGTACTTCAGTTATATCACTCTCAGTTACTCAGTATTTGTATTTACATTATTTGCATTGTTGAAGAGTAGGGCATACAGTAAATCACAGAAGATGCATAATTCATGTGTTTGTTTATTAAAGACGTAATGGGATTTAATGGCAAGACATTCCAGTAACATTCTATTAGGCAACACCCACAAGGTGCCATAAAATCACTATTATTATTTTATGTACATGTCAGCAGTCATAAAACCATACTGTGTTGAATGGGGGCTGTCTGTGAATTAATCATCTGATAGAAGTGGGGCTTTTGACAGTCTAATATTAACAGCCATTCTCATCCATTTCTCTTTCATGGCCTGATGGCACTTAATGGACATTTGTTGACTGTAATATTAAACCATGTGCTTTGAGGAACATTGCATATGCATGGAGGCATCTCTTGTTTACTTAAATAATGAATTACTTGTACACAGAGCTGTTACTCATAAATGTACGAGTCAAAGTGATCTAATTACCTTTAGTTAAGATTACAGAGATGATGACTGTGATGAGCACATTAAAAAGAGTAAAATATAGCCTAGCAACTGTAATGTATTGCAACACTGTGGCCAATTGCCTGTGTAGTTTGACAGAGGCACACTACATAAGACTGGCTATCTACTCCATATCTTCTATCTGAGTGTTACCAGGATGGCCCATTGACCTTATAGTCGGGGTGCAGGTTAGTTAGTATTGATACCTCTCTGTGTTTTTGTCCCCCAAGGTTGAAAAAGGAGAATTTTGGCCCTCATGACTGGCACTCCATGCCGGTGTCGGGGTCTCAGACGTGGTTGGTGGTGCCGGGTCTGGAGCCCAGGACAGAATACCAGTTCAGCGTCCTGGCACAGAACAAGCTGGGCACAGGCCCTTTCAGCGAGGTCGTGACGGTTAACACAGTAGGTAGGTGGCACCAGCACCAGAACAGCCGCCTACACTAGACTGATACTGTAAGCCTGTACTGTAGATACCTAGAATAGACTCTTTGGAATGCATGTTTTTTTAAGGAAACTCTATAGCTTATGTTATGCCTTAACTTGAACTACAACGGATTTGTATTTAGATGTTTGCACATCAGTGTGTCCATTTTAGACAAGTCATGTTGATTCTGTATGCTCACAATATCATTGGAACAACTGCTCTCTAGAGCCATCTTCTAAAATGCAGTTTGTAATTGCTCTCACCATCTTCCGTTTATCTCTGATTGATCAAATGTGCATGTATGGGTTTGTTATGGCTGTTTGAATAGTATGAATTGGTTAACTTCCTTCTAAAACTGGTCTGTTCTCTTGTCCCCTTAGTGTCTCCCCTGAGTACCCCTGAACCACAGGTACTTCTTACTCCACCACGGTGCCTCACAGCCAATCGCACACAGCACGGCGTCCTGCTCACATGGCTCCCGCCAGCCAATCACTCCTCGCCTGTCGACCGCTACATCATGGAGTTCCGTCTCGGGGAGAGGTGGGAGGTCCTCGACGATCTGATCCCTGCCGCTGAGACTGAGCTGATGGCCAGGGACCTAGTCCAGGTAAAGGACCGTACATACCTCAATGTATAAACAATGCTGTCTGTTTATAGTGACAACTGTCGATGTGTAATGACTGTTCATTAGAGTGTCATAAACTGTCTATAAGATAATAATAAACACTATATAAATCCTTCTAAGTATACCTTCATGTAAAGTGTTACCGCTATTATTTTGCTGATGGCAGTTGTTTTGGGGTAATGACACCTTTATTTTGAGACAGTGGTTATGCTGAGGTGAATTGGACTGTGCTTGTGTTATGTGTGTGGAATGGACAGTGGAGGAGTGTGTTGTCTTGTGTCCCTGGCAGGAGTCCTGGTATGAGTTCAGAGTCATGGCCGTCATGGATGACCTCATCAGTGACAGCAGTAATGTGGTGGGAGTGTCCAGCACAGGTAAGTGTTACACCTAATATATTACACACCTCAATTCAGAAATATTCAAATAATATTCCCAGATTGCTACAATGAGATATAATATTTTCAAATGCTGCTGATATGTCACTCCATTAAATCCATTTACCTCCATGAGATTGGTTCATGATTTGAATGTGAAGTTCATGTTTTGAAGGTGAAGTCCATTTCCACCCCCCCCCCATTTCTGAACCCCTGGGTACCTCTTCCGCCTCAGATCCCTTCCCCCCTACGGAGGTGACTGAAGAGGGGTTGGCACGGCCCGTGGTAGCGGGCGTCGTGGCAACCATCTGCTTTCTGGCGGCTGCGGTGCTCTTCAGTACTCTAGCAGCCTGCTTCGTCAACAAACAGCACCAACGCAAACTAAAACGCAAACCAGGTATGCCTCCACTTCTTCTAACTTCTGTCTAACTTCTACTGTCCATTCTCTGGTCTTGGTTGAAATCTCTAAATCTCTGTTTTGTCTCTTCTAAGACCCTCCCCTGTCTGTAACACACTTCAGGAAAAGCATTGACTCACCGTAAGTACTAAAAACAAAACCAGAGAGTTTAAAAAACAGGAGCCAACCTTTTGAGCTCATATGCCGATTCACAATGCAGTAGTCACTGGATTAAATTTAGATGCAACAATAACTCCTATTTACCTGTTTTAAGGGTTATTGTTATTGTCTCGGTTCGCTTCACTCCTGTTGAGTACCATCTGTCAGGGCAGGGTAGCTTTGCTAGAGATGAGTATAGTTTGGATGTACTCTATATATACAAAGTATGTGGACACCCCTTCAAATTAGTGTATTTGGCTATTTCAGCCAAACCTGCTGCTGACAGGTGTATAAAATCGAGCACACCGCCATGCAATCTCCATAGACAAACATTGACAGTAGAATGGCTTTACTGAAGAGCTCAGTGACTTTCAATGTGGCACCGTCATAGAAAGCCATCTTTCCAACAAGTCAGTTCGTAAAATGTCTGCCCCGCTAAAGCTGCCCCGGTCAACTGTAAGTGGAAACGTCTAGGAGCAACAACGGCTCAGCCGCGAAGTGGTAGGCCACACAAGCTCACAGAACAGGATCGCGGAGTGCTGAAGCGCGTAAAAATCGTCTGTCCTCGGTTGCAACACTCACTACCGAGTTCCAAACTGCCTCTAGAAGCAACGTCACCACAAGAACTGTTCGTCGGGAGCTTCAGGAAATGGGTTTCCATGGCCGAGCAGCCGCACAAAAGTCTAAGATCACCATGCGCAATGCCAAGCGTCAGCTGGAGTGGTGTAAAGCTCGCCGCCATTGGACTCTGGAGCAGTGGAAACGCGTTCTCTGGAGTGTTGAATCACGCTTCACCATCTGGCAGTCCGATGGACGAATCTGGGTTTGATGGATGCCAGGAGAACGCTACCTGTCTGAATGCATAGTGCCAACTGTAAAGTTTGGTGGAGGACGAGTAATAGTCTGGGGCTGTTTTTCATGATTTGGGCTAGGTCCCTTAGTTCCAGTGAAGGGAAATCTTAACGTTACAGTATACAATGATCCTAGACGATTCTGTACTTCCAACTTTGTGGCAACAGTTTGGGGAAGGCCCTTTCCTGTTTCAGCATGACATTGCCCCCATGCACAAAGCGAGGTCCATACAGAAATGGTTTGTCGAGATCGGTGTGGAAGAACTTGACTGGCCTGCACAGAGCCCTGACCTCAAACCCATCGAACACCTTTGGAATGATTTGGAACGCCGACTGCTAGCCAGGCCTAATCGCCCACATCAGTGCCCGACCTAACTAATGCTCTTGTGGCTGAATGGAAGCAATTCCCCCCAGCAATGTTCCAACATCTAGTGGAAAGCCTTCCCAGAAGAGTGGAGGCTGTTATAGCATCAAAAGGGGGGACCAACTCCATATTAATGCCCATGATATTGGAATGAGATGTTTGACGAGCAGGTGTCCACATACCTTTGGTTATGTAGTGTATATTGTGTGTATGTCAAGGGTTTGGAGAGAGGTCTATGTTAAAAGGAATTGGATGTGTTGACTTGTTGGAATAGCTAGATGGTCAAGTTAATGAAAATGTTCCAGTTGTTTATATCAGAATAGTGAAGTCTGGTCCTCTTGTGACTCCATGATGGTCCCTCCTGTGTTGTGTGGAGGTTTGGCTTAGTTGACAGATGACCGTGGCCCATGTCATTTGTGTGTCTCCCACCGCAGGCCTCCTCTCACCCCCTTGCCCGGGGTAGAGCCCTGCTGGGACGTGCCAGCCAGGAGCAGCTTCATGCCCCCACCAGCCAGCTCCCTGTGAGTGCTTAGCTGCATGCACCATACCACAGGGTGTGTTGTGCTGTACTACGCTATGCTGGCTTGGCTACATGGATAATATATGCATTTTATAGATTTGATTTACTTAGTGCTCCGCTGGCCTAAATGCATGCACAATATACTGTATATGCACTGTATAGGGATTTGTGTTTGCGTTGGCTCAGCTGCATGTACAGTACTGTGTATATGCACTCTATAGTTTACTGTGTTGTTTACAGTGCTGCTCCTGGTGTGTGGCAAATAGAAAAGAAGGCATGGTTGGATGTCATCTGCTTTTTTCTTATGCCATAAAAGCATTTGGCACAGCATTTGTCCCCAACAAGACAAATGGGCCTCAGTTTTTGCCCAAGAGCGAGTAAAATAATATCTGTGAGATGGTTGTCATGGCTGCTTGGTAACGGTTCCTTTCTCATACTGTCGCCGTGGCTACATTCATTAGCTTCAATGCTAGCAGAATGCACTGGATACTATCATAATGCAGAGGTTGAATACAAATAAAACAGGTGTATTTGCTTTGACATGGTACCATGTCTTTGGGTTTTCTCATCTGTCTAGCATAGTATTGATGCATACTGTGGATAATATGCTATTTTACACACAATTAGGCTATTTATTGATTAATAACTGCTGTTTAAGGGGTTAATTATGAAGCCATCATGTTTGAGTGTCTGTCTCTGTGTTGGTTGTCTCTGACAGGCTGTCCTCTGGGAAGATCAGTCCAGAGAGCTCCCCTCCCGCCTCGCGGCCCCAGTCCCTGTCCTCAGATGGGGCCCACGGCCCGGGCCTGTATGTCAGGAGACTGCCCAGCCCTCAGAGAGACAAGGACAAAGAGCTCTCCTTCTACAAGAAAACCAAGCGTGCCATAGCCAGCAAGAAGTACAGCGTGTCCAAGCACGAGGCAGAGGTCACCAGCCCCATCGAGCTGATCAGCCGCGGTCCCGACGGCCGTTTCAGTATGGCCAGCCCGCCATCAGCCCACCGCCGCATCCAGGGCTTCCCGTTCGCCGAGGAGTCTGACATGTACCCCGAGTTCCGGCAATCCGACGAGGAGAATGATTTTGACCCCGGGCCCCTGCCCCCGATCATGGCCACGCTCCGACCACAGCTCTCCCCAACATCTTCCAGCCTGGAGTCCACGCAGCCCCCCAACTACAGCCCCCGCCTCCACAGGCCCATGGAAGGTATGAGCTTTGTGGAGGGCAGTGGGCATCATGCTGCAGGGCAGGCCCCAGCCTCCCGCTACAGGGACTTTCCCCAGGTCCCCTTCTATGGGTATCTAGGCAGCCACGGGGAATCGGGAATTCCGCCACCTTTTTACATGCCTTACATCAGTCCGCGTAGCTCCGCTCTGTCCTCCCCCCCAGGCACTGCTGACGGGGGGCCCTACGGTTATCCCTCCATCCCGGAGGAGAGGGAAGAGATGGAGCTCCATCATCAGTACACTGCCTCTGGCCATTCCCTCCCACATCCACATAGCCCTACCCCTCGCTCCCCTCGCTCACCTGACAGCTGGCAGCCTCACGAGTTCCCCTTCCTGGGTCTGGAGGGGCCCCGCTTCGTTTATCCACCTCACCATCCCTTACATCCTCACCAGGACCTTCCCGACCCTCCACCGTACCCCCCTCTCCACTCTCTTCCCCCCAGCCGCCTGCACCTCCCCAGCCCTCGGCTCCTGCAGTTGGAGGTCCCCATGGCTCCACAGGGCAGAGACCGACCCCCAGGCCCTCCAGCTAGGCGCTTAGCTATGCAACAGGCCCAGAGTCTCGGCCAGCTCAGACACACATCCCACGGTGTGGGTGTACCAGTGTTGCCTTACCCTGACCCAGCAGCCTGTGCAGGGAGCCCAAGCACAGCCCCTAGCAGCAGCCCCCAATCCTGGCTCAGCCCGAGGTCAGGGCGTAGGACAGACCCCTCCCTACCCCCGCTGGTCCTCCAGCCCTCCCACCTATCCCCCCTTTCCCAGAGCCCCCTTAGCACCCAGCCAGGTTCCCCGGATATCCTAGTCCGCCCCCCACCCCACCCCAGCATCCTCCGCACCTCCCGCTCTCTGGAGATGCCTGAGATCACCCTGCACCCCCAAGCCACCGTCAGTTTCTCCCAAAGGTCCTCCCTGGCCTCCTCCCCCACCCAGGGCCAGCAGGGAAGCAGCAGGCCCAGCCCCAGTTACCGCCCCCACATGTCCTATGCCTCCACAGCAGCCAGTTACCCCTCCCAGTCCCCCTCTCCCCCCTTGGAGGGCAGGGATGTGTTCGGGCAGTGGCCGTCCCAGAGGAGGACAGAGGAGGAGATGCTGCCCTCAGAGCCCTCCCAGCTCCAGATATCCGCCTCAGGGTAGGTGACCTACACCGGTCCGGCAGGGACAGCAACACACTAACTAAAGCACAAAACAAACTTCTCCAACCTGGGCACTCAATTCTAAATGTATCCCCAGTTTATAGAATATGATGTAATGTTTTACTTTTGGCATACCAATAATGCATATTTAGGCTTTATATGCAGAAAGCATGTATTTGCATTTGACACATATCTGATCAGTCATAAACAAGTTATTAATTGAAATGTTATCAATAGACCCATTTGAATCAGGGCAAATTAGAAAATTCATACTTTTAAAGTGTAGGTTTCACATAAAAAGTCCTGATTTACACATTTTGTAATTTAACCCTAGAACAAAGACACATCTGAAGATATTGATATTGATCTTTGAATTCTGTAATTGTTATTTATAAGATATTTTTGTTTTTCTCTGTATGGCGACTCATTTTCGGAAGAAAGGGTGATTTGTAACTGCCATAGTTCACAGAAAATACTGTTTGCTAAAGAAAATGTTGGCAGAAAACCTAACCAAATACTTTAGTAAAACGTTACAATTGCATTAAGATGCAATCTGCAACAAAGGATTTCAGGTGGAAGACATGGGATCTTTGAGCGAATGCTTCACTAAATAATTAACTAGCATATACAGTATTTTTTATTGATTGGAAACTCTGAATACTAGTGAGGTAATATTTATTCTTACATGTTTAGTTGATTTCCTTGTATTATTGCCCACCTATGACATCTCATCAGAGGCTTTCCTGTTTTTTAACTGGTGGTAAATGATACTGTAGCTAAACTAAAAGATTACGATTGAGTGAGACCTACACTTTAACTTTAAAGGTTGAGTGCCTTCTACCGCTCAAATGAAATATGAAATGTACAAGGTAGCAAAATTATTTTCACGATATTCAGCATCATTATTGCCCAGATAAGCTTTCTATTTCAGGAATGATCTTCACACATTTGAAGGCCAAAGCAGATTTTACTGCACCTCTGATGTTTATGGCCAAAAACAAAACATGTTTTAACCTGAGACCATTTGGACTACTTGATAATCTCTATTATTATCTATTACACCCACATAGTCATACAGTACATGCTCTGCAGGACAATAGGAGACATACAAGAGAGCAATATACCTGAGGCGCATATAATCCTCCCCTTTTCTCTGTATACCTACATGCTTCTCCCCTTCCCCCTCACACCCACCTCCTACCTTTCTGAATCCCAGGGATTGCCAGGTTAGTGTAAGCGGCCACGCTCTTTTTCCACCCCTTTACAATGTCATGGTCATATGGGCAAGTATAGAGTAGGGCTGCTGGTTTGTACAGTGTGAGGGCTCAGGGGTCTTACCTCATCTGTTTTTGATTGATCTCAGCTATCTGGGCAGCGTTGTTGTGAGCCGGTCCCCTACGCCGCAATAGGTAAGGGTCGGACCCATGTCTGAGAGGGGAGGCGTCAGCAGGGGAGGGCTCTAATCACTCTCTCCTTTAAAGGGGAATCGCTGACTTTGGGTTGAGCCTCTTTACTGGATTCAAGTTTACTAGCTCTAATGCTAACTGCTAACATACAGGTTACATTTTCTACAGTTCCTTGGCACAACATGCCTGCTGTCACGCACAGTGATTAGGCTGGTGAGCAATATTAGGAGCTGTTTTGGACTGTGGAGCAGTATTTGAAATACAGGCACAGTTTCCCTGCACTAAAAAAAGCCTTGAATCAATAGAGGACCCAGATTACTGATAGACTGGAGTATTCCCCTTTAAAGTGTTGTTCCATGTGCAAAATGCCATGCATGCCTTCTCTAAATATCTATTTTTTGACTCAAACGAATAACAATGATTCTCAAGACTAATTTCTTCTTCACATTCGTCGTCTTAAATGCTTTCGTTTCTGTCATGTGACTGTTTTTAATGGCCATTTCCTCTTCCTGTCATGTGACTGTTCTTTAACGGCCATTTCCTCTTCTTGCCATCTCCTCCCGTCAGCATGGTGAAGCCTCTGTACACAGTGTTCATGTTGATGAAAGTGTGCTGTACAGTGTTCATGTTTTATGGAAATGTACTGTATCTAACTCACTGTGGCCCCTGCACACAGTATTTGGGATTATGAAAATGCTACTGTATTAATCTAACGAGGAATGCATTAATTCTCATATTTGTCTCCCCTTTCTGCTAATGGCTCTCAATCTCTCTCTCTACAGTGACACTATGAAGGACAACACCTCTAAAGCTGTGTGTTCCTACAGTATGCCTTTTGAAACAATATGTTTTGGCAGAATCACTTGACTTTACTCGTCGAGTCGAGTCAGGTTTTGAAGCTGGTGTATTCAGTCATTTAATGGCAACAAACATTTAATCTCATGAAAATGAACGTAAATGTTTGGTGTTGATGAGGTTATTTTGGGTCTTATTATCATTATTTGCATCTTTCTATGATGGACTGCAAAACAACAGTATTCATTATGAGGTAAAAGTACATTTAAAAACAGATACCTTTCTGTGTAAAGCTCATCAACGCACCTCAATTTGACATGGATTTACAATTAGCCAATGATAGATACTGCTCATCTATAACCCTTAAAAATATGTTCAGTATTAGGGTGATTTTGAATGATATTTCACTCATAAAATGAAAAGAATCCACATAGAGCTATCAAAAGATGAGAATCCTCTTTGTTGCCCCACTCATCAAAACAGACAAGCCATAGATTCTCACTGTAGAGCAAGAGGAGCAACTCAGTAACTATAGAAACTGAAGCCTTTCTTATGAAAACTGTTATTACAAGTACAGTATAGAGATTATTTTCATTTTATGGGTATCTGAATGTGACAAAATATTGACGTATTCCTTCATAATTGTTTTGAGAATTAACACAGTTCATCCCATAGTATTTTATTAATTCCTCACAATCTAAAGCCAATGAATTTCTCACCAAATCATCAGTTTATTTATCGTTCAATATTACAGAGCCTTTCGGAATCAATGTCCTCCTGAATGCCAATCTGACTAATCACTGAGAGGATAGCGCTCCCCGGTGGTGGGTTAAAGTAAAGCATGTGGATTGTGCCTCTCTCCTCCTCTTTCTAGGGAACCTCTAGGTGCGTCTAGTGATCCTGCCGGGTCTGAGAGCTTACAAGCACTGCTACACCACTGTATTACTAAAGCCAAGAGAGTGGCTGCCAACACCAATAACAACTCCACTTCCAGGAGAAGAACAGGTCAGTCTCTGAACTAAAGAATAAGCCACTGGCCACCACACAACTGTTAGAAGAACCAAAAAGAACAGCATTTAGTGGCTTCACAACACTTAGATAAGTCTGGGACCATTCTAAATGCCTCGCTGTGGTATCCTCAATAACACTACCTCTCCCTCCCTAGGTGTGTCTCCCTCTCAGACCCAGCAGCAATCCCAGACCCCCTCCGCTCACAAAGAAGATCTCTACCTCCACAGGAAGAGGAAAAGGCAGAACAGGAAAAACCGATATCTCTTTTTAACCTCCCTTCTGCGCCGCAGCAGACGCTCTGAGGAGGACCAGGCAGCCATCCTGGCCAGTACAGACTCAGACAGGCCCACCTACGGGACTCTACACTGACCACTGACCAGTATGTCTACTACTGTCACTCACAGACAGCCCAAGCCATGGGATGCGACTACATCGACCCGCCCTATAACTATACACAAATGATGATAATCATATGATTAATTCCATTCAGCTTTTGGCAGTGGGTAACCTGTCTCTAGCTTTTTTCAAATCATTTAGAAACAAAATAAAGATGTTTTCAGTGTCTCCCTGAGGATAATGTAGTGAGGGTCACCAGATAAAACATCTGTAATGTAAATACATAAAATAATGAAATAAGGGGACAATATCTCATATTGTAGTAAAATGCATTGATCTAAATAATTCACAACACCTTAAAAGTCACTGGTCATGGAGGAGTCTATCTGAGGTGTTACAGTGACACATTGGACTATAAAACCTGCTGCGTTCCTTACATAAGGACCTCAGTCTACCTTTCCTACAATTCAAATAGTGTCAGTATCTAACACAGGGTTCTTATCACACAATATACCTCAGAGTAAGTGCAGAATTGCTGTAATTCTATTGGTATATACTGTACGTATTTTACATTATTTTTCAAATGAAATGTATGAAATAAATGGTATATAATATCAAACACTTCACACATGAAATGGATGCTATGGCCTGAAGTCTGATTTGATCTGCTTTTAATATCAATCCCAATCTGCATATTTTGCTTAGTCCCAAAAGAATATCATCCAATACAAGGCACGGTATGATATTGGTACATTTCAAACACTAAAAGACATGTCCTCACTCTCTTGCATGTTGGCTCAAAGCCTTTAACCACGTGATCACATCCAGTAAAGGTGAGCCCGTGTTCTTCTTGGTAAGACATACAGTAACCTTGTGTTCAAAAGAGGCCAAATGTACACTTGATAGGGTGAGGACAGAAAAGGGGTGAGGAAATGTGATAAATGTGTATACAGTGTTTTTCATTAATATGGAGGAAACCTCGAGTCATTTGTGGAATATGGCACATCTCTAGGTGCCTTGTTTGCCTTTTCTCTCTTGTTTTTGAAAAGTGAATTAACTGCCTTTTCCTTCGCTTTCACACATTATCTCACTCTGTTGGGACTCATTATAAGCTCCAGTCTGACCTGTGGACTGACTCTACTTTTTCTGCACTGAAGGTGTATTACTCTGGTTCTTTTTAAAATCTTGACTGTGTATATTCTACTAATAGAACAGACCTATAATAACAATTAGTGATTATGATGACAGTGTTAATCATTTCAGGTTTCAAATTGTGGTAATGTTATAACATTAAATCACAATTAAATCAACATTTAAATGTAAAAGGTACAGAAGTAGTTATTATGCAGAAAGTGAAACTTGCCACTGATGTTCATATTTCAAAACAACTGTCATATTGAATAATGTTTTGAAAGATCTGATTGCTGTTGCTTTATTATGCGATTTTAACAAGTGGGCTTGTTAGATGACAAGTGACAACATTTGTGTTACAATAACTAAGGTGAAACTCAAAAGGTGGGGTGGCTGTCTCGACTCTCGACTGTTTATCTCTAACAACAGTAATATTACCTGCTAGCTACTTAACTGTATGTTAATTCATTTTAACACTAACCGATAATGAATGTATGTTTTGCTGTACAGGAAGTGACTGTCCTGATGTCATAGTACAATGGATGACCTGTCGCATGTGGTGGTATTAAGTTTAGGTTTAATTGGTTAGTTGGCACAATAGGTTGATTTGATTTATCACAAGAGGCTAGCGAGTTAACCAAGGATAGGTTCAACCAATGTTGGTTGAATGCTTTCCTTTACACTGATGGTTAATGTTATAATTTTATTATCACCCTGTAGACTAGACCTATTAGAGAGCTTTAAGCTTACACACTTACAAGATGAATCACTGGAAGACATTGACATTTTAAACCAGTTGTCTGATTTGGAGTCACTTTTATCTTTACTGATAGCAATTCAGGAGTTGAACTAGACATAAGAACTCTGAATGTATGTTAATTGAATCCCTCTCTGCTTACTATAGAATATGTGAGTGATCAAAACATCAACTTTATCTGCCCTCTTCACTCAATTCCAACGTATTTTTTAAAAATGGGTGAAATAGTGACGATTTTGTGGAATGAAGTTGTTTGAAATTGATACATCAACGTGCATATTCCAAGAATTGGTTATATGTAAGATATGGGGAAAATCTATATTTATAATGTATACATGGTGTGTACTGTATTTGTAAAGATGAAACAGAAAGATTTTCTGTTCATTATGCTTGAGGTCAAAAATAGAGAGGCAGATTTAAAGCAAATTAGATTAGATGTGATGAAAGTATTTGCTTTAAGGCTTTAAGTGGACAATATTTATAAAACATCTTAAGGTGCCTCGTTTGTCATATTTTCAGAGACATTATTTTACATTTATGGAAAAGTAAATGTTAGCACAGAACAAGTGTGTTATTGTCATGTGGGCCTGTTGGCTGCACAAGTTCAGTAGTATTTCTTCTGTTGTATATTTTGAAAAGCTTTAGAAGCAACATGTCGGCGCTGGACTAAACCTTATCTGGAACAGAAAACAATTTTTATTTTCTCACAAGCACACAGGTAGATTCACTCATGATCACTTGCCTCCAGATGTCCAAAGTATGAGCGAAACAAAAGAGAGCCACAAACAATGTCATAGTTATGGGGTAATGTACAGTGGGGAAAAAAAGTATTTAGTCAGCCACCAATTGTGCAAGTTCTCCCACTTAAAAAGATGAGAGAGGCCTGTAATTTTCACCATAGGTACACGTCAACTATGACAGACAAAATGAGGAAAAAAAATCCAGAAAATCACATTGTAGGATTTTTTATGAATTTATTTGCAAATTATGGTGGAAAATAAGTATTTGGTCAATAACAAAAGTTTCTCAATACTTTGTTATATACCCTTTGTTGGCAATGACACAGGTCAAACGTTTTCTGTAAGTCTTCACAAGGTTTTCACACACTGTTGCTGGTAATTTGGCCCATTCCTCCATGCAGATCTCCTCTAGAGCAGTGATGTTTTGGGGCTGTCGCTGGGCAACACGGACTTTCAACTCCCTCTAAAGATTTTCTATGGGGTTGAGATCTGGAGACTGGCTAGGCCACTCCAGGACCTTGAAATGCTTCTTACGAAGCCACTCCTTCGTTGCCCGGGCAGTGTGTTTGGGATCATTGTCATGCTGAAAGACCCAGCCACGTTTAATCTTCAATGCCCTTGCTGATGGAAGGAGGTTTTCACTCAAAATCTCACGATACATGGCCCCACTCATTCTTTCCTTTACACGGATCAATCGTCCTGGTCCCTTTGCAGAAAAACAGCCCCAAAGCATGATGTTTCCACCCCCATGCTTCACTGTACGTATGGTGTTCTTTGGATGCAACTCAGCATTCTTTGTCCTCCAAACACGACGAGTTGAGTTTTTACCAAAAAGTTATATTTTGGTTTCATCTGACCATATGACATTCTCCCAATCCTCTTCTGGATCATCCAAATGCACTCTAGCAAACTTCAGACGGGCCTGGACATGTACTGGCTTCAGCAGGGGGACACAGGATTTGAGTCCCTGGCGGCGTACTGTGTTACTGATGGTAGGCTTTGTTACTTTGGTCCCAGCTCTCTGCAGGTCATTCACTAGGTCCCCCCGTGTGGTTCTGGGATTTTTCCTCACCGTTCTTGTGATCATTTTGACCCCACGGGGTGAGATCTTGCGTGGAGCCCCAGATCAAGGGAGATTATCAGTGGTCTTGTATGTCTTCCATTTCCTAATAATTGCTCCCACAGTTGATTTCTTCAAACCAAGCTGCTTACCTATTGCAGATTCAGTCTTCCCAGCCTGGTGCAGGTCTACAATTTTGTTTCTGGTGTCCTTTGACAGCTCTTTGGTCTTGGCCATAGTGGAGTATGGAGTGTGACTGTTTGAGTTTGTGGACAGGTGTCTTTTATACTGATAACAAGTTCAAACAGGTGCCTTTAATACAGGTAGCGAGTGGAGGACAGAGGAGCCTCTTAAATAAGAAGTTACAGGTCTGTGAGAGCAAGAAATCTTGCTTGTTTGTAGGTGACCAAATACTTATTTTCCACCATAATTTGCAAATAAATTCATTAAAAATCCTACAATGTGATTTTCCGGATTTTTTTTCCTCCATTTGTCTGTCATAGTTGACGTGTACCTATGATGAAAATTACAGGCCTCTCTCATCTTTTTAAGTGGGAGAACTTGCACAATTGGTGGCTGACTAAATACTTTTTTTCCCCACTGTATGTGCTGCAACCGAAGTCGTGTTTACATTAGCTAGAGATGACATACGTGCTACTAGGACTTAGTTGCTTTCAACATTATGACTTGGTGCTATGTTTAACTCTGTGGTGCTGTAGATCAGAGGCCTACTCTCTTGAAGTCCTCTGTGTTTTGCCAACTCAATTAGTTATATCGTTGTAAGTCCTATTAATAAACTAGTGTGATTGGCAATGAGCAAATTGTATTGATTGTTGAATCAGATAGTGGCAATAGATAGTGTGGTGACATAAAAAAAAAAAATCAAAGAGACTTAGAATAATGTAGCAGTCAATGGAACAATAGTTAGTTTCCGTCTCTGTTCCAGCCTCTGTCTGTGCTTCCAGGGTACCCTCTCCAAAGTGTTGTACTTGTGTTGAAGGGGAGATATAATACCCAGATTAGATGGGGAAACCTACTTGGTGTGATGTTATTTATCTGTACTTTGGATCAGTATTAAATATGTAACAGCAGACAGGGGAGGGAATCTGAGCCCATGGTCAGGGCATGAGATGGTTGTTCTACACTACACACTTCCTACAGGTCAAAACTATTTTTGATGGACAGCACTGTTTTCAAGCACACTACAGCAGGGGCATAACCTTCTTACTTCTTCTCCACTGTTGTCGCAAAGTCTCCTATTGGGGGACAGTATTGTACAGTATAACCAGTAAGAGTATTCATCAAACAGCGTTTGTATTTAAGCTGATTCTTCTCATATGTTTTG